ATATAATTATCAGTAACACTGGGACATAAAGAACAGCTTGTGTTTTCATGTATTCTAGGTTTTGTAGCTTTTGGGGTTTTAGACTAAGCTTTCCTCTTGACTAGATTTTTGGTCTTGGAAATGTGAACCCCTATCTGGCTCTTAATTTTCTTGTGCACTGAATGAGGAGGTTGGATTCACAGGATCATCTTTGAGGTTCCATTCAGCTTTAAAAGTTTCTGTGAACCTCATCGTGTGACCATGAGTTGGCACCTTGGCCAGCAGGGCCTGGAAATGTTCCTCTGTATGTTAACAAACTGAACTTCCTGGTCTGTCGATTTCTCAGTGAAATCTCCCAGATCTGAGCTTTCTCATTCCCACAATTACTCCCCTACACCAGACTAATTTTAACTCCTGCCTGAATATTCTTTCATCTTCCCTGCATATTTCGGCTTTTTTTTTTCACGTGTCTCCCATCCTCAAAGACGATTAAAGGCCCCCTAGAATTTCTCTACTCAGCTTTCAAGGCCTCCTATAATCTGCTCTCATTCTAGAAAATCAACTATATTTTTCACTTGAATCCAAATTTCATAACTATGGTACAAGTCATTGCTTTCCCCAGGGGAATCGTATATAAATAACCATACACATAAACAGATATGTATATGATTTCAAATATATGTACGTATTTAAAAATTTCAAAAAATTATTAGCGATTTGTGACTCCCTCAAAACTGAAGGTAACACATCAGCATGTTATGACACTATGATTGATAATGATCAAGAGCTGAAATGACTTCTTCTGCCCCCGCAGTTGGCTGAAGGTAAATCACAACAAACGGGGCCAATCAATCACCAGTCTGGCATTAAACCCAAGGAAGAGGCTATTTTTTGTCCACTGTTTGGGTGTTAAAATAGTGTGCAGCTGTGCATCTAGAGAGGAAAGACTCTACCACAAAAAGCCCAGCTTTCTTTCACTCTGTCATGACAGTGGATGAATTCATGGATTTTTTTTCTTCTTCCACATGAATAATCAAGTAAGCTTACATCACTGGAGCCTGTGGCCAATTAGGACACAAGGTGATATAAGCGCTTGGTGTGACCCTTTTCTGTAATCCCAGTAGTCTTAATAATACTATGGTAAAATGAGAAGACACACACCAAACAGTGCAAGTGTCAGTCACGTGATGTGCATGCAAGTAATTAGAATTAACAAGAGGAAATGTCAGGCTTTGACTTCTGCACCCCCGCCCAGACAAAAGCAGAGGTGTGTACGTATGGTGGCTAAGCTAAATATGAAAACTGGTTTTGACAGATGGAATGTAGTCAAAATCCTAGGCATTCCATGCCAGTTCTCTGTATGAGTACTCTAGTATCTGAGCATTAGAACAAATCCAAGTCTAATCAGCCTTAAACAATGACCTGTCACAGGATGGCCTTCCACTCAATACGTTCAAAGCCTTTAGCACAGATCTTTTAGGAGTACAGAACTATATTTAAAGGAAAAGTCTGGTTGAACTACACCTTACGGATCTCTTGCAGTATTTTCTAGTCTGTGTGCCTGGCATAACAAGAGTTTAATAAGCATTTGTGAATGAATGTTTTCCTTGGATAATGCTAGTCAAAGGTTGGCTTTAATACATAATAAAAATCTAATACATATCTGATTGATCATGCTACCCTCCTTTGGGAGAAATATATTACTATCTCTGTTTGCAAAAAGGTTTATATTATTTGTCCTTTATTGTGTTTTTTTTCGTGTATTTAAATGACTCCTGGTCAGGTGTGGTGGCTCATGTCTGTAATCCTAGCACTTTGGGAGGCCAAAGCAGGAGGATCAGTTGAGGCCAGAAGATCAAGACCAGCCTGGGCAACACAGTAAGTCTCTGTCTCTACAAAAAATTAAAAAAATTAGCCAGGCATGGTGGCGTGCACCTGTCAGTCTCAGCTACTCAGGAGGCTGAGGCTGGAGGATCACTTGAGCCCAGGAGTTGGAAGTTGCAGTGAGCTATGTGTCACTGCACACCAGCCCAAGCAAAAGCACAAGACCCTGTCAAAAAAAGAAAAAAAAACAAAACTCCTTTTTAAGAGGTCAGAAAGGAAGAAATCAATATAGGTCACACTCAGAGATACAACCAGGTTTAACACATTGACTGCCATACTAGAAAAACATTTTTTTTCCCTTGGAGCTATGATGTTTCATTAAAACAAAACTATCGGCCGGGTGAGGTGGCTCATGCCTGTAATCCTAGCACTCTGGGAGGCCAAGGCGGGCGGATTGCTCGAGGTCAGGAGTTCAAAACCAGCCTGAGCAAGAGTAAGACCCCATCTCTACTATAGATAGAAAGAAATTAATTAGCCAACTAATATATATAGAAAAAAAAGTAGTCAGGCATGGTGGCGCATGCCTGTAGTCCCAGCCACTTGGGAGGCTGAGGCAGTAGGATTGCTTGAGCCCAGGAGTTTGAGGTTGCTGTGAGCTAAGCTTACACCACGGCACTCACCCTACCCTGGGCTACAAAGCGAGACTCTGTCTCAAAAAACAAAACAAAACTATCCTTTCTAATTTGTTATCTTTATTGTTTTCTGTGCATGAGTTATATGCAATGCAATCCACATTTTTAGAATTGTCAACATTAATTGTAATAAGAACATCAGCAAATTAAGATTTTCATGAACCAACCACAGGGTTTTGCTCATGGGGCCCCAGGCTCAAAACTAGCCTGAGTTAAATACAACTCATGTGCCAGTTAATCGGTTAAGTTTTGAAGAATGGGTAGGATTTTGATTCTGACAGGAAAGGCATGAAAAATGGAGGAATCAGCATAACCAAACATAAAAGATCTGAGATTTTTTTTTTTTCTTTCTCAAGCTTAACTGGAGCAGGCTATGTAATGGTTGCTAGTTAAGGGTAGGAGGGGAATATGCAAATAAATTACACAGAATTGGTTGCAAGGATGAGAAAGTTTTAATGCGAGAGTCAAGGGCTATTCTGACACGATGAGGTAACAACTGCAGGTGCATCCAGAGAATGGCATAAACTATTATTCCAATTAGTGGGCCAAGCCAGTTAGCCATGTAAGAAACTCACCTAGGGTCAGTATGCGACTTCTGTATTTCTTGCAAGCACAATCCATTGACATCATTTATGGGATTTTAAGTTCCCAAACAGGTATATAACTTCAGCCTTATCTTTCCTTAAGATTTCAGTGACTTAATAACAGGAAAAAAGTTTTAACACATTAACTGCCATGTGAGTTGTATTTAACTCACGCTAGTTTTGAGCCCAGGGCCTTGTGGGGCATATAGAACTCATTCATCTCTTTACCTTGGGAGTCACGTGGTGCACAGGCAACTCACGCTGCCATGCTGTAGCACACATGTTATGTGATGGGTGGTCCACTGGGCAAAATCCTGCAATTGGTTTATGAAAATCTTACTTGTTCATCTTCTTGTTACAGTCAATACTGGCAATTCTAAAAATGTGGATTGCATTGTATGTAACTCATGGAAAACAAAAAATAATCTTTTCATTAAATTAGAAAGGATCATTTTGTTTTTGAAATTTTTATTCTATTTTCATAATAAAACACCATGGACCCAAGGAAAAATTTTTTTCCTAGTGTGGCAATATGTCTAACCATGATTTGCTCCTTGATATTCTGATTTTTAGAACCTCCAAGTTCACTATTAACATATTTGTCTCTCAACCACTATGTTTAACATTTAAAAGGGTTTAATTTTGACTAATTGCAATTAAGAAAATCCTAATTACATGACCTCTGGTAACTTGTTTTCTGTTTTTTTTTGAGACAGTCTCGCTTTGTTGCCCAGGCTAGAGTGAGTGTCGTGGCCTCAGCCTAACTCACAGCAACCTCAGACTCCTGGGCTCAAGCAATCCTGCTGCCTCAGCCTCTCAAGTAGCTGGGACTACAGGCATGCAACACCATGCCCGGCTAATTTTTTCTATATATATTAGTTGGCCAATTAATTTCTTTCTATTTATGGTAGAGACGGCGTCGGGGTCTTGCTCTTGCTCAGGCTGGTTTCGAACTCCCGACCTCAAGCAATCCACCCGCCTCGGCCTCCCAGAGTGCTAGGATTACAGGCGAAAGCCACTGCGCCTGGCCTTGTTTCCTGTTCTTAATCTGTAAAAAGGGAACAAACTTCTTTCTAGGGCTGTTGTGAGGAACTAGCCAAAATATTATCTGTAACACAAATACTCAGTTTCGTATGTAATGTTGGCTATTATCCTACAAACAAGTCACATTTCTATGCTGTTTAGACTTCAGCTTTGCTTAAAAATGTTACCTAGTATATATTAACATCATGCTTCTCCTACTACTGAGAATAGGGGACTGTGTGCAATATAAAGAGCTATTTATCATTTTAATTGGTTTATGGAAAGCTATTTTGCTTAAGATTGTCGCCAACTCTTATCAGCAGAGGAAAAAAAGGTAACCTTTCATCTCTATGTAGTAGCTTAAGAACACTCAACTAGGAATGAACTGGGGTTGACCCAGGATGGGGCTGTCAAGAGCCTACCCTTACTAAATGATAAAAAGGGCCAGCTTTTATTAAGTACACAAAGATATGGAATCACATGTCAGACATCTAGGACTTTTTATTGAAAGTCTAATAATTCATCAGACGTAGGTCATTTGACCCATCAAATAGGAGCATTTTATGCTGTTTGGAATAGTTTTTGTTTTTGTTATTGAACCTGTCCCAGGATTGTCTAACTTTTCCTAATCAAGTTATATTTGGGCTTTTCATACCAATAATTACCCTTGGTTTTGTACTTTAAAAAAGGTATTTTCTTAGTAAAATTCCATCCAGAATTTGGTTTTGGCCCTGCTGATGCTTTCATCAGATCAAGTTACAATTGATGAAAGTAACATGACTTTACTGAAATTAATGCATTTTCTAATTTCCTTTGCAAGAACACGGTACTTTTTCAAAATGCTTACCTAATGTCTTCATGTTGCTAGCTAAATAGCTTCACCAGTCATTACTCGCATAGAGTTTTAAAATGAGTTTATTAAAGAATATTCTTAGGAAGGCAACAAGTTTTGATTTGTCATTAAAAAAAAGTTATGTTTTTGCATGCTGTAAGAGGCTGTAAGGTAAGAGGCTACAGAGTTATAAGCTTCTTTCTACTGGAATTTTCATATAACACAGTGTAATCATTTCTGCAATGCTAGAATAAATTAAAAAAAGTCTCTTCTATGCTTCTCTTCAAAAAGTGATGAATAATAGAAGACAGCATAAAAAAGGCATTGTTTTCTATTCATTCTGTAGTATTGGAGCCAGTATCTAGGAAACAAAGGAGAGAGAGAGAGAGTAAATTCAAGGAGCAACTTAATTTTAAATTTGAATATTTAAGAGTATCTTTTAAAAAAGAAAACAAGACTAATGGTGGTAGTGGTCCGAAGGGTGGGGAAGAATAGGAGGCAAGTATGAAGAGGGAAGTTGACCATGGAAATACCTTGAGAACTTCAATAATTTTTCTTCTAAGGTAGAGATAAAAAGACATATAGCTATCCATGGTTATGCTAGATAAAAACCAGGGTGAACCACATTTGGTTCATATAACTACTATGTAACCACATTTTTTTCAGGTCCTCTGTCCTAAGATTTTAAATCACAAAGGATCATAACATATCATCAGAAAGAGAACTGTATTTAGAGATATTTCCTGGTAAGATGTCAAACACTTTTTACCATCACAGGCCGGTTCTAGCTATTATCACTTTTTCTCTGCTTCTTTATTAGAAACTCAACTTTATTTCAGAAAGTCGACTTTAGAATAAAATGGACTTACTTTATAGTAGTCCCTCACTTATCTGGCATCATTCAGGAATGTATTTTTTTTTTTTTTTTTTGGAGAGAGTCAGTCTCACTCTGTTGCCTAGGCTAGAGTACCATGGCGTCAGCCTACCTCACAGCAACCTCAAACTCTTGGGCTCAAGCAGTCCTGCTGCCTCAGCCTCTCAAGTAGCTGGGACTACAGGCATGCACCACCATGACTGGCTAGTTTTTTGTATATATTTTTAGTTGGCTAATTAATTTCTTTCTATATATTTTTTTTTTTTTTGGAGAGATGGGGTCTCACTCTTGCTCAGGCTGGTTTCTAACTCCTGACCTTGAGTGATCCACCTGCCTTGGCCTCCCAGAGTGCTAGGATTACAGGCGTGAGCCACCGCGCCCGGCCAGGAATGTATTTTCTTAATCATTTAAATTTACCTATACTTGTAAATGCCAAACCATTTTTATTTTGGAAAGAAAAATTTCTACAATTGCAGTCTTTTCTGTAGGTATATAGTAAATGGAACACAATCTTAGCTTTTCTTGAATCTTCAACAATTTTTTCATCGAAAATCAATAACTACACTGTGCTATAAATGGGGGAAGCTCCTCAGAAACTACTGCTGACTTGTTACTTCTCATCTGCCAAAGTTTGCAAAAACAAATAATGTTGTATCTTTAAGTAACACACTCTAAGGACCACCAGATAGGACATATCTTTACATGGACACTTTGATATTATTAAGTTTGTTTAGAGGCCTTCTTCACTGACTTTTTGGTTCTTAGCTATGGTTCAAATGGCTGAAATGGACTATTAATCTACATCTGTGTTGTCCAATATGGTAGTTGTTGACTAGCCACATGTGCCTATTTAAATTAATTCAAATTAACTAATAGAAAACTAAATAAAATTAAAACATTAAGTCCCTCAGTTGTCCTACCCACATTTCAAGTGCTCAATAGCCATGCATGAAAAATGTAGACATGAAACATTTCCATCATTATAGAAAGTTCTACTAAACAGTGCTGGTGTATATCATGAACTCATTTTCACAGAGGTCCAGGAATTATAAATGCCCAAATTCTATAGTCTAATAAAAACTTAAAAACTGAAGGGTTATGAGAATGCTATTAGCTTCAATTACAGGAAAAATTATGAAAAAAATTATACATTATCTCTCAAATATAGAAATGCTATTATCTTGTGATCCAAGAAATAGTACCACCTTCATGGGAATTAAAAAAAAAAAAAAGACCTAAATATAAAATTGTTTCTTATTATAACAACAAAAAGGATGTAAGTATCTGATTACTATATTAAAAAGGCAACTATGCTTATATTCTCAAAATGATTATTCCTATTTAACCTTAACGATACAAATCATTGTAATGTTGCTAGGTTTAGAGACTTCCTCATTTGGAAGAGACTATTCTTAAATAGCTGCTCTAAATACAAATGGTTCAGATTATAAAGCAAACATAAGCATATATTTAAAATACCATTAGCAAAATGGATAATGAATTGTGAAACAGAAAGCAGTAATGTATAGCTTCTGAAACATTGAAGGACCTAACAAGTTCCTAGGTCTGGTGTGGAAAATTCATCACACAGGTGTAACAGATTAGAGGAATGGATATTTACCATTGTGACTGCAAGGTTCTTATGGTTAAAATCTGCTTTAAAATAATAATCACATATAAAATTTTATATTTCCAGCAACACAGAAACCAGAGAATATATTGTCAAAATTAAACACTTCCTTAAAGAAAAGTGTCCATGAAAAGCCTGATAAAGACTTAAAATTTATGACTACAATAGGGAAGAAAAGCTTTTAATTTGCTTTTCTTCTTTTCCATACAAATTCAATGTGTGTTAGTGGTCTGTGTGTCATTTGAAACGTATATATACCTAAAGTCAGTTAAGAGGTCTGTTTGAGATCTGGAATTCAGAATCTAGTTGAGACAGAAACTAGGTCTCCATCAGGGAGTTGATCATTTGGACATTTTCCCTGTTGGGCTTTTCATACAGATGAAGATTTTCTAAAGACTCATAGAAACAAGATTTCACGTAGTTTTGCTTTCACAATAATTAGGCAAACACTTACTTTTACCATCACAGGCTACAATTTTCACTTTATCCACTTTAATAAGTTCTGTCACCTCTCTGAATTCAACATCATTCAATACAAAAGTCCACACGTTATCGCAGAATCTGTACGTATTTAGAGAGCCCTTTAAAACAAAACATTTAGACATACTATGAAAAGTCATCTTTTCCTCTCACATTTTTCTCTAAAGCAATTTAAGAGAACTTTCTACTAAGTACATAATTAAAACAGTATGTTTAATCCTTAAGATTTTCCTTCATTTTAATCCTATTTACTTAAAAAACAAGGACAACTTTAGATAAATTTGCTGAGAGTTAAAAACTATTTCAGTTAGCAGACTATTTTCAGCACTGTAAAAGCCTGCAAATTACTTACCTGAAATATGAAGAAAGGTGGAATGAAAACTTGAATTTGTATTTGTACTGCCCTCATGTGGCTAAATTATGAAAGTTCATTTGAATTTTTATGAAATACTTTCAAAAAACTACATATTTTGTGTATGTTAATTCTCCATACTTATTTTAATCCTGTGACTTAGCTCAGATGCATTACTGTATTAGCCACTAAAACTACAATATTCATTATCCTGTGCAACTTGCATTCTTCTAATTAATAAAAAAGCTGTTAAGGAGCAGGAATACATATTTGAGCATTAAAAGGAAATTTTACTTTATTTTTACAGATAGGGTCTCGCTCTGTCACCCAGGCTGAAGTGTGGTGGCATGGTCATAGCTCCTGTAACCTGGAATGCCTGGGCTCCAGCGATCGTCCTGCCTCAGCCTCCTGAGTAGCTGGAGGTGTACACCAACATACCCAGCTAATTTTTAAATTTTTTGTAGAGATGGGGGTCTCACTATGTTCCCTGGGCTGATCTTGAACTCCTGGCCTCAAGTAATCCTTGGCCTCCTAAAGTGCTGGGATTACAGGCGTGAGCCACCACACTGGCCTAAAAGGAAATTTTAAAGAGTGTGGTGAAAGTCAAGGACAGATGCTAACCAATAGAATACAACCAAAATCTGAGATACACACATGCACACATATAGTCACATATGAAATCTAGCATTTGATAAGGCATTTAAATGTCTAAAATCTTCAATTCAGAAAAAAAAGCATCAAATGCACAAATACTCTCTGCAGTATAATAATAATATTAAAAATTGGTAGTAGCAGTAGATTCCAGAAAACAGCATGTGTCAGGAGGTCCTAAGGTGAAGGATATCATGGACAACCTTGGAAAACTTTTGCCCTATCCTATGACAATATTGGGAGGTCAATGAAGGATTTTAAGCAGAGGAGTCACATGATCAGATCTGCACTTTTGGTGATGACATGAAGAATGGACTAGAGGGGAATACGACTGAAGGAAGAAGACCATCTAAGATGATGATGCCTCTTAGTTGAATCAGAGAAGTAAAAGTGGCTTTACTACAGTAGCAGCAAGGAGATCAATAGAAACACAAAAAGACTTAAAAAAGGGAAAACAAAAATGAAGAGACTTTTAAAAGGTAGAACCAACAGGACTTGACAACTATAAATATGGTGGGGTAGGGAGACAGAAATATAAGGTAACTCCAAAAGCAATATAGCTTTGAAAATAAGATTACCAATGTATTATCTCTCTTGTCCTGGCCATGTGCTCCACCAAGCTAAACAGAATGCTATTTGCAAACCTTCTGGACTTAAAATTGGCTGTAACCAAGGAGGGAGCAGAGTGATGAAAGCCTTAGCTAGAACAGTAACAGCAGGGGAAAAAAAAGCAAGAATGGAAAAGTCCTGGTCAAGACTGAGTATTTATAGCTTTTGGAAAATAGAAAAACTTACAAAACACTATGCAAAAGAAATTCAAATGTCAAATTACTGTTAACTTTTGCTAACGAGATCCAAACTACAAACCCATAATAATTCAACTAGAAGATTATTCAGCCCTTGTGAACTTTATAGCCTCCACCAAATTTTCTACATGGGCAAAGTATATATATTAACATGAATCAACTGGGCAGGTTTTTACATATGGTTATACAAACACACACAAACTAATTTTGCCAGAATTGTTACTATTAAAACTTCAAGAATCCACTGGTCGAATTTTATAGTCTTAATTAAAGATACATTTTACTCCAGAAAATGTTTTGTCACATGAAACTGATAAGAAACTTATTTATATGAATATAAAATACACATGGATTTTATCCCTTTAATAAAATATAAGTCAAACTACCTTGTCTATCATGTTCATTTTTGTATTTACAATATCTAGAACAATGTCTGGTATATAGCAGGCACTCAAATGTTCATTGAATAAATAATAAATTTTTCCTTTGTGTTTTTCATCACCAATAAAACCAAAAATAAAACCTAAAATACTAAGGTTCTTTTAAATGCAAGGTAACCTCTAAGTTCTTTTTATATATTCACTATCACATATTTTATTTATTTTTAGTTTTTTTTTTCTCTTTTGCTCCTTGGAGTATGGAAGATTTTTATATATTTTAACCTTTTAATGTCTATATTTTGGTTACACCTTGTAACATAAGCATAAATATTAGATAAATATAATTGGCAAATAACCAAACATCATTATAAACTATGTTATATGACTTCTTCAATATCATCATATTATGGTAAAATTATTTCTATTTTACCATAATTTTTCCGATGGGCCCGTAATTTGAATTTACTATGAAATTGGAACATAATTTTGTTCAGCTCTGAATGGATGATTTTTCAAAGAATAAATGACTCAAATGGGATTAAGCTATCAAAATAGACTATTATCTACCACTAGATCAAGTTTTGTTTTGTTTTTTTTTGAGACAGAGTCTCACTTTGTTGCCCAGGCTAGAGTGAGTGCCATGGCGTAAACTTAGCTCACAGCAACCTCAAACTCCTGGGCTTCAAGTGATCCTCCTGCGTCAGCCTCCTGAGTAGCTGGGACTACAGGCATGTGCCACCATGCCCGGCTAATTTTTTCTATATGTATTAGTTGGCCAATTAATTTCTTTCTATTTACAGTAGAGACAGGGTCTCACTCTTGTTCAGGCTGGTTTCGAACTCCTGACCTTGAGCAATGCGCCCGCCTTAGCCTCCCAGAGTGCTAGGATTACAGGTGTGAGCCACTGCGTCCGGTCTAGATTAAGTTTCTATAAGCCATGTTATCAAGGAGTGGGTGGGAGATAACATGAAGTTTCTAGCAATAACTGTGTACTTCCCTGATATGGGTGAAAGCCAGAGTTTGAAACATAACTGTGAACCTAGGAGATTACTCTGCCACTTACCTTCAGTCCTGCTGATAATGTTTCAGGTGTATGAAATCTCTGGAAGTCTTCAGGGAAGGTAACCAACATACACAGGCTGGTTTGTGAAACAATGGAATAAAAATCTACAAGCAACTCTATCTCACATTAAGTGGATGAACTTAGTAGTATACAGTTGATTGAAAAGTATTATAATTGAGTTATTAAAAAATAAATTCCCTAATTTGATTAAACCATTTCTTCCTCTTATAATTAATAAATATGTAGGGGTCCTAAAAAACACTGTTGTAACAACCATTGGTGCAGGCTTCTAGATTTAGGAAAATATCCTTACCCTGAAATTGACTCTGTTCCTGACCCTCTGAGCCAACGCTGAATTTATAGCCTTATCAAACTGAAGTAGAACTTGAAGGGCAAGTTGGGGGGTAATCTGTTGAGACTGAGAAAAAGTAAAGGTCATAAATCCTCTTAGCAGGAAAACATCAAAGTAGGTAAAAATATATACATTTTTATCTAAAATTTAACTGAAGTTAACCAGAGCCTCCAAACTAGAATTCTTTATTCTCCTTTGCCAAAATTGACAATGAAGAAGCAAAGCCTGAACCTGAAAATATCTTTTGTACCATCTGGACACAAAAATAATTAAAAAAAAAAAAAAAAAACCAACATGCTGTGATGCTACAAAGCCAGAATAAAACTTTGTCTATCTTCCTTTCACAGTGTCCGGAAAGAGGTTTTCAGTAACTTGAAGAAACCATTTCTTTTAAATAAAATACATAGGGCCTATATTAAAAAAATGTTAGATATTATGAAAGCCCATAAAATATATCAACAAATGGAAATACTTAATTTGTTCTTAGATGTAACGTTTACATTAAAAAGTTAATTCTCTTAAAATTAAAATATAAATTCAAAATTCTAATTTAAATCTAAAAATACTGAATTGGACAAAATTATCTCTTTTTTTTTTTTGAGACAGAGTCTTGCTCTGTTGCCTGGGCTAAAGTGCCGTGGTGTCAGCCTACCTCACAGCAACCTCAAACTCCTAGGCTCAAGCAATCCTCCTGCCTCAGCCTCCCAAGTATCTGGGACTACAGGCATGCACCACCATGCTCGGCTAATTTTTTTTTTCTATATATATGATTTGGCCAATTAATTTCTATTTATAGTAGAGACGGGGTCTCGCTCTTGCTCAGGCTGGTTTCGAACTCCTGACCTCGAGCAATCTGCCCACCTCGGCCTCCCAGAGTGCTAGGATTACAGGCGTGAGCCACCAGCCTGGCCTGGACAAAATTATCTTAAAGCTACATAAAATGTAAATCTAAAACCAACAATCATCTAAATATTATTTTTCTTCTAAATATGAGTCTAAAAACTAACAATCTTAATTTTTATGTTTAACAAAAAATTTTGAAGATTTAGCTCTATTCAACTGTATCATTGAATCATCATTATATTTTATGTTCTGTTGTCAGGATGGTATAATAAACAGGAATCTCAGGTTAATTATCGGTGAGTGCTACTGACTTGCTAGGTCAAATAGTCTAAGCGACTTTACCTCATATCTCTTTGCACGGGATAAAGGATATGATGAGAATTATTGCAGACCCATCGAAATAAAAATGTTTGATTTTCAGTCTCACCTGTATGAGCTCATCTAGGCTCTCCTGAAGACTGTTTCCCAAAGTGGTATTTCTGTATAACTGATATGCCATGGCTTTAGGAGGAAGAAATTGTTATTCTTATTCAGGCTTGCATTGATGTCCTAAAAATTTAATATAAAATTGTTAAAAAGAGATCATACTGTAACATTATAAATTATGTAATACAGCCTACTTCATATAGTGTAAGATAGTATTAATACTAGTATCATTCTTAGTAATTGCAAGTTACTATATAATAATTTTATAATTACAAGGAATAATGTTTTTTCTCTTTTCTGTAATTTTGACACAGGCATTTATACTCCTTTATACATTACAGATGTTATATTTATAAAAATGTATTATCTTTACCACTTTTTCAAAAGTCTGTCTTCTACAGCAAGAATTTTTCATGTACCATCCTATTTGCTGTCAAGTCACTGATGCAGACAATCTTAGCTCACATTTGCATGCCTGCCCCTTTATTTTCTTGTTCTCTTAAAATCCAGTATTTATAGAGTGCCTACCAAAAGGATGGCACTGTTACAGGTACCAGGGAGAGGAAGAGGACTAAAGATATATTCCCGATCCTAAATTTACATCCTGGAGAGGGTAATGGACATACAAAAAGGTTAAATTCAGTATAAAATAAGACTTATGATAGAGATACACAGCTGCCTGTGTATCTAAGCCATGGAGGTTGCCTGCGGACCAAGAGAACTGGCTCAGAAAATCTTCCTAATTCTTCAAACTGATTCTTCAGTTTGAGAAACGAATCCACATTATTAGTGCAGTAAGTATGAACAGAGAGTGGCTGAAAGAGATGGCATGGAAGGACTTATTCTGCAGGAGAGGTTCAGGCAATGGGGTGCCACTGAAGCATTTTGTATAAAAAAGGTCAAATTGGTTTGAGTGTGAGATTAGAAACAGATGGGTAGAAATATATAGTCAGAAGAAATAAGACTCGGTTTTGATAGATCAGTAACATGACTATAGTTAACGTTAATATATTGTACCTTTAAAATAGCTAGAAGAGAATAATTCAAATGTTCCTAGCATAAACATGAATATTTAAGATAAAGGATATTCCAATTACCCTGATTTAATTATAGGAATGTATATTATCTCATGTACCCCAAAACATAAATCTATTATGTATCAATAAAAAAAAAAAAGAAATGGATGAGGGATGAGGGCTTAAAAAGGGTAGCAGTAGTACAGATTCAACAAATACTAACTGAGCTACTACTTGTCAGGTATAAGATCCCTGACCTCATGGCGCTTTCAGTCTAGAGATGGATGGGAGGAGATACATTTCAGTAATCATCAGGTAAAATTCAGCAAAATTAATGGTTACCCATCGGTCTTCACATCACATGCCTTGTCTGCATTTGCTACAACAGATCATTTCTGCCTTTTTGAAATATTTCTTTGACTATGGGACACCACTCTCAGTTATCTACTATCACCTCACTAGATACTACTAAATTTCTTGTTTTTTCTTGCTGGTTTCTCCTCAATTCCCTGACTTCTAACTACAGACCTGCCCTAAGGCTTCTTAGGTCTTCTCTACTCCACATGCTTCACTCCCCCCCAATTTGTATCTTCACCCCTGAATTCTCCCTTTGTACCCATATACAAGGGCTGTCCGGAAAGTATTTAGCCATTGTCAATGTAATTTTTCATACCACATGGCTGGATACTTTCCAGACAACCCATGTATAAAACTGCTTACTTGACAATGGATAAAAATATCAAGCAGGTAGGTCAAATTAAATTTATGAAAAAAGCAAATTCCTGATACTACCTCTCCAAATTTGCTGTTCTTGGTTTTATCCACCTCAGTAAACAGAAAATCTAGTCATCCAGTAATATAGCCCCCAAACCTTAGAGTCAACATTAACATCTTTCTTTTTTTCTTACCTGACATTCAATCTGTCAGCCAATCCTTTCAGCTCTTCCTTCTAAATAGAGCCAGAATCTGACAACTTCTACCATCTTCAATGCTATCACTCTAAGTCACCATCATCTGTGACTAAAATTAATGTGACAGACCATTAAGTGGTCTCCCTCTTTCCACCCTTCCCTATCCCAGCCCCATCCTCATAGCAGCCAGGCTGAGATTTTAAAACATAAGGCAAATCACATCATTGGTCTATTCAAAACCACCAATGGCAGCATCCCATCTCACTCCAAGTAAAAAACACAAAGTCCTTCCCATGGTTTGCAAGGGCTACAGGATTTGGCCCCCCACTGTCTCCTACCCCTATCTTTATCTACTAAATCCCCCACTCACTCTGCTCCAGTTATAGTGGTCCCCTGGTGCTCTTCGCCATGGGAAGCATGTTCCTTCCTGAGGCCTTTGTGCTGGCTGCTCTTTTTGCTGAGTGTTCTTCCCAGATACCTGCATAGTTCACTTACTCATTTGGTTCAGATCTCTGCTCAAATGTCACCTCATCAGAAAGGTGTTCTGTGTCCAAGCTATAAAAAAGAACTATCCCTCTTCCTTCTCATACTGCTTTCATTCATACCAATAACTGAAGTTGATATACATATGCTTATTCTGTCTCTATCTACTAAAATAGATGATCTATGAAGGTGGGGACTTCAGTTATATATCTGCCACCTAGAACAATGTACGTAGTAAGTATTCAATAAGTTATTTGTTGAGTGAATAAATAACTTAATGGCATATCAAAGCACTAATATCAAATATGAGAAATGTGATACAAAATTTTCTGCTTTACTGAGGAAACTGAAGCAATGAAAACTTCCAGACTCACAACCACATCTAACTACCTACCAATATCCGTGCAGGTTGAACATCCCTTATCTAAAATGCTTGGGACCAGAAGTGTTTTGGATTTTAGGATATTTGCATCATATTAACTTATGGGTTGATCATCCCAAATCCAAAAATACGAAATCCAAAATTCTCCAAAGAGGATTCCTTTTGAGTGTCTCATTGGTGCTCAGTTTTGGTCTTTGGAGCATTTTGGATTTGGGATGTTCAACTTGTACCCATATACTCTGCCTTCCTGTTTGTCACCATAGTTGAATTCTACATGCTTTTATCTAAATCCAATCCTTCTACCTTTGTATCAGGTGTTATCCCTTCTAGTGTACTGGAGGATACTGTTCTAACAATTTAATTGTTCTTTCTCTCCCTCACCATCAAATTTCCTCTCTCTACAGATCATTGCCATCAGCAAACAGGTGGCTAATTATCTTTAAAAAACCAAAACCCCAAAATACTACCTTAAACCACTTCCCCTGTCAGCTACACTCTATTTCTCTTGTTCCCCTTTCCAGAAGGACTTTACTTAGAGTTGTACTCACTCTCTCCCATTCTTTTTTGCCCCCATTTTCTCTTTTTTTAATATTTTAAAAATTTTCTTTATATTTATTTTTTCTTTTTGACTGCCATGTGAGTTTTTTTTAATATTTTTAAAATTTTCTTTATATTTATTTCTTTTTTTTTCCTTTTTGTCCCATTTTCTCTTAAACTGACTTTTGCCTCAGCCCTCTAATGAAACAGGTGAAGGTCACCAATGGTATTGCTAAAGCTAATCTTCAATCCTCACCAGAGGAGAGCATTGCACACAGCTGATTAGTTCCTCCTCTTTGTTAAAGGATCTTTGCTCGACTTCCCGGACACTACACTTTTTGGGTTGTCCTTTTAACTTTAACTTGCTGGTTCATTCTTCTTTATATTGTTTGTTGGTTGATTCTCTTCTCCCTAAACTCTTAATGCCAGAGGACACAGTCCTTGGTCCTCTGATACTTTCTGTCTACACCTACTCCTTAGTGATAACAGTCACTCTTACAGCTTTACATACCATTGCTAATGAATCACAAATTCATACACTGTATTAGAACTTCTCATTCCTAGATATAGCTGCCTACTCAGTATCTCTACTTGTTATCTTTTGTGTTTCAGTTGAAATAATGCCATACTTCTATAGGCTTAGGCAAAACCTTTGAAGTCACCTTCCACATCCAATTCCTAGAAAATCCTGTAAGGTCTACCTTGAAAATGCATTCAGAATCCAACCATTCCTCACCATCTCCACTGCTATCACCCTGGCCTTGGCCATTATCATCATGATTTGGATTACTATAATAGCCTCCTGACTGATTTCCCTACTTCTACACTTGCCCTCCACACTGTAATCATAACTCACAGGGCGATCTTCTAAAACATAGTTTAGAGCATGTTTCCTTCTCTACTCAGAATCTTTCATGGGCTGGGCATGGTGGCTCATGCCTGTAATCCTAGCACTCTGGGAGGCTGAGGAGGGAGGACTGCTTAAGACTGAGAGTTTGAGATCAGCCTGAGCAAGAGTGAGACCCTGTCTCTACAAAAAATAGAAAAATTAGCCAGGTGTGGTGGTGCACCTGTAGTCCCGGCTACTTGGAAGGCTGAGGCAGGACTGCTTGAGCCCAGGAGTTTGAGGTTGCAGTGAGCTATGATGATACCACTGCACTGTAGCCTGGGCAACAGTTCCTTGTTGAGACCCTTTTGAGACCCTGTCTCAAAAACAAACAAAAAAACTCATATGGCTTTCATCAGTCCTTACAATGATATGGCTACCATGATGTCACCTACTTTATCTACTATTTAAGCTCTCCCTCTTCCTCCCTTTGCTCATTCCTCTCCAGACATTGGCTTCCTTGCTATTCCTCAAACAAGACAGGCTTAAGAGGCTTTGTAATGGCTGGCTGCTCTTTCTGCCTGAAAGGCTCTCCTCAGCTCTTCAGTTGGCCAATTCTCTTAATTCCTTCAAGTTTTTGCTCAAATAGCACCTACTAAGTGAGGCCTACGCAGACCAACATATTTTAAATACCAATTCCCACCTCCACTCTGGAACTTCCTCATACGCCTGCCTTATCTTCTTGCTCAATTTCTTTGATGGTACCATCGCCTTCTGAAACATTATACATATAATGTATTTCTTTTACATTTATTTTATGCATCCTCCAATAGAAGGTAAGCTCTATGAGGGCACAGATTTTTGTCTGTTTTATTCACTGAAGTAAACTAGGCATCTAGAACAGTACCTGACACACACAATAAAACATTTGTTCCATAATGAATGAAGGCAAACAGTGTGGGAGTGTGTGTGTGTGGGGGGAGTGTCAAAAGGACAAGGAGGTATCAATAGGGAGACCAAAACTTTACAAAGTAGGAGATTAAAATGGTGCTGTGCCCCATTTGACAAAAGTCTAAGAGTCATCCAGAATTCAGCTAGTTATTTAAACGTTAAAATTACTCGCTTTAATGATCTTAAATGCGGTTATCAGCTACAGAAATTTATTACTCCTCTCTCATTTTGCAGTCTAGAAAATCAGAAAGCTCCAAACTCGGAAGTAACCAGTCCTAGTTTTTCTTGATTAAACCACTCTGCTTAAATTCGTTCCTTTGTCGGGAGTTCGCACGAAGAAAGTTGAAAGCAGACTCCAAACGAACGACGAAACACAGAAAAGAGACACTTAAGAAATGCTCCCTGCAATCCGGCATAATAAACACAAGCTGCTGCTGGCCTGGATGCTTTAAGACATGCACCTGGCTGCAAATACGGTGCTGAGCTGAGGACCTCCCCCCCCCCCCCCCCCCCAGTCACTTCTGCCGGCGCCGGGTGGACAACAAGCCTCCCGCCACAGGACGTAACCGCCCCCGGCCGCCTCGCCTCCCTTCCTCGGTGCCGGCCGCAGGGCCCCGCCGGCACCGAAGTCGGTAGCGGGCCGCCCGTGGGAGGGAAGAGCCCTCCAAGTCGCCCTCGGAGACGACCCAACCGACCGCAGCCCGAGCTCCGCGGGCCGGCGGGGAGCGCGGGCCCGACTTCCCCTCCCTGTCACCCACTCCCTACCTGCGGCACAGGCGCCTCCCGCCGCAGAGCGGACAGAAGCGGCCAGGAGTCGAGCGCGACGTTCCCACTCCTCGACCGCGGGCTCCACTCACCGCAGAAACCGCAGAGCTGGGCCGACGACCCGGAAGTGCTCGCGGAACCTGGAAGTGACACCCTGTCCGCGGGCCGGGAGGCCCCGCCCAGCCCGCTCTCGCACGCCACTCACGCGCGGCGAGGGGAGGGCGGGGGTGTGCCGAGAGGAGGGGCGCGGGGCCGGAGCCAACCCTGGAGCGGCGGGCAGCCTTCCTTTTCGAGTTCACCCACCCGGCTCACAGGATTGTAAGGGAATTTTATTTTTAGGAACTAATCTTGTCCACTGTTAGATGCGCAATGAAAGAAAGGTAGGACGTTCACACTTTATGCCTGACGTGTGTTCAGGGTAATACCGTTGAAGACCTTGCAATACTACATTGAAGTCAAATTCTGAAAAGATTACAGCAGGGCATCTTTTTACCACTCAAAATAGGGCGGCAATTAATTTAGACTGGCAAGCTTTTATAATAGTTTGTGACTGATTCATGAAGAATTTTAATTCGGAAGAATTTGTATTTAAAATTTGTACCCAATATGCAAGACAAATACTTCAATATGTATTTCGAGTTTGCACAATCCCAAATTCCTGTAGGTGCCAGGATGCATGGGTTAAAACAGCTGTAATGTGTAGAGCAGTGTAAAAACAAGTGCTACCAACTGGGACCTCTGGGCAGGCCCTTAAACTATCTTTACTCCTACAAGGAATAGAAAGCCCTCAGACTATAAAAAGAGAAACAAGACTAAAGGTCTTAAATTACTTGAAAAGGCATGTAAGGTAATTCAGAGCAAAAAATCGAGTAGCATAATGGAAGACAGAAAAATCTGATAAAATGAGGCAAAAACAAGTTTTCCAATTTATTTATTTAAATTCATTAACGTTGCAAAAATATGTGCAACAAATCAAGACAAGTTATTTGTATTCCTAATAGGTCAAAGGAAAAGAAAATATATTACATCTGCTTAGTAAATCAAGACCAACCCTAGTATTTCTTACAGGGACCACATCAACATCTTGCACACACAGACATCAGAACTAAATTTCTCACACTGTAAAATGACAGTACTAGACTAGGTAGGCAGCATCATCCTAATAGTAGTAAAATGATCACAGTACAGTAAATTTTGGCTTAACTGACAGCATGTGAACTTGTGGTAACAAAAATATTTTTGAGATGTATCCCAAAGTGCGTTAGTGTCTAACAAACTTTGAATTGTGTTCTATGTGACTAGTGCCCCAAGGGCTAATGCAAGTCAGTGGCCTTGAACACCACCAATATGTACTAGCTATGTTTATGTAAATAAACAATGAACCAACTGTTCAAGGGACATTAAATTTTAGAAAGTCTGTATACAAACAGTGGAGTAGCTGATAATGTTATTTTTCAAGTTCTTCCTCAAACAGAATGCAAAAATGCATAAACATTTCAAAATGCAAATGTTTTCACCTCTTGTAGAATGTTTCAAAATCAACTATTTGAAACAAAAATCTTATTTTTGTTTTTTGAGACAGAGTCTCACTTTGTTGCCCAGGCTAGAGTGAGTGCCATGGCATCAGCCTAGCTCACAGCAACCTCAAACTCCTGGGCTCAAGCGATCCTACTGCCTCAGCCTCCCGAGTAGCTGGGACTACAGGCATGTACCACCATGCCCAGCTAAGTTTTTCTATATATATTAGTTGGCCAATTAATTTCTTTGTATTTATAGTAGAGACGGGGTCTCGCTCTTGCTCAGGCTGGTTTCGAACTCCTGACCTCGAGCAATCCGCCCGCCTCGGCCTCCCAGAGTGCTAGGATTACAGGCGTGAACCACCGCGCCCGGCCTGAAATAAAAATCTTAATATCATTCTTTAATGAAAGCACTAAACTCTTGATTTTCATCTGATGCTTGATTTATTAAGTGCTTTACGTGAATTTTTAATAGCACATTTTATTTAGTTCTCAAAACATAAGAAATTAAATAGAAGATCTATTATAGTCACAACTGTTCTATCCAAATTTTAGTGTCACTCTTTACTGTTCAACATAATATACTACTTTATTTTCAATTATCATTTAGAACTTTAAGGGAAAGTTACATTACTGAGTCTCCCTATTGATCTGATTCAGAATCTCAGGAAGGGCGGAGGGAGATGAAGAGCTCATCATGTAATTCTTTTGTACGTTTAGAATATTGAGTAGATAATGTCACACTTCCCTTACCAGTTGGCCTTTCCATGTAAGCCTAAGTTCTTGACCTTCTCCCAGCAACTCCAACTACACAATTCCTATTCCTATGACAAGATAAACTATTTAAACAGCAAAGTAGGTCTACTTATAAGTACATTTATTCCTCCTTTTACTCCATCCCTATATTTGTTTGTGATCCATTTCTCAAATATCCATAGGCTAGGGGAAAAATCAGGCACAAAACAAAATAGAATGTTGTATCAATCTCTATTTTCAGCCTATTGCCTCCTCCCACCTTACTGAGCAATCTTAATAATTTTCCTCATACAACAGAGGAAAAGAAGGATGAAGCTACTGTCACCTTACATACAACCCTACTTAACCTCATCAAGAAACTGGCCTGTTCTACCTGATATATCATAATGCTAATTTATCCATCAACTGAAAAAATCTTAAAAGCCACTTTTGTATTAAATCAAACACTTTCCCAAATTCCCTGAGCATTCACATAAACCACCAAATAGAAATGCCTATATAGTCATTTTAAAGTCTTTATCTAAAAGCAGATTCCTTACTTTTTTCAATTTTGGAAGTGCATTTCAAGAAATTCTACTTATAGATATATACCTGTCAATCAGCAGATTTCAGTATTCAGTGCAGTTACTAAATAGTGATGTCCATTTTGGAAGACTACATTAATGTTTACCAACTGTGAAATATAAACTAACTCAATACTAACTTCAGTCTAAGCACTGTAATTGCTAACTAACCCTCTCTGTTCAAACTTGTTTCAGTATGAAGAGACAAAGAAAGCAGAGGAAAGTAGGAATTCTCAGCCAAGATATGTATTATGAGCCTTTCCCCCTTTGATCCATGGTCTCCTTATTCATATATTCTGTGGGTAGCCTTTTGGATATAAGAAATGGTGTCACCAGCTGCCACATACAGTACTTCCCTTAAGAGGGACATATTCAGTGACATCTTAGATAACAGCTAAGTCTTTATCCCCTTTTAAAGGTTTTCTTTCTCTTTCTAGTTTTATCTTTCTTTCCAACTACACTGCTAGACCCTACTTAGAATCATATTTCTTCATACCCATCCCTCCAGGTTAAAGACTATTAAGCTTAAACTGTGGGGTCAATATAACATCTTCCCTTGGTGCTTTCTTAGAAATATGACCAAGCAGAACACAGAATCAAATCACTTCAAATGAAAAACTGAGTAAAAAGGGGCACTCAGAGCCTATGTGTAACAGAAAATAGTGACAGAAGCATCAAATTAAATAAGTCAGATCCATGACCACAGCAGAAAGATAAAATAGCAGAATTATATGTAGTTTCACCTCAATTGGTAAATGGAATAATGTGAGAAAATATTACATAGCTATAAATTATAAATAAAGTTAAATGCTTTTCTTTTAACCTACTAGTTATGACCTTAGCTGTCACAGTTATGTAACATTTATTGTTGGGCATATCCCTATACCAGATTCCATTAAAGTATAGGTTAAAGCAGATTATGTTTTTAATCTAGTGATTCACAGCACATCCCAAGGGTACCACTGTTCCCACTGAATTTCAATGTTTAACAGAATATAGGCCACTTCTATCTTAAAAAGATACTTAGAAAAGCATCACTTTTGCAACAAGTTCTATCTGTAATTAGGAACAATGCTGCAAAAGCTAAATCCAATAAACACACAAAAACTGAAATTATTCTTTTGTGTTTTTCAAACTGAAGAATCAAGTATATGGTGGAAACTACCTAGTAAATCTATTTAAAAAATCCTCATATGGTAAATTCAGAAGGAATGCCTAAATTGTTATTGTTAGTTTGCTTCTTCAACACAAAGTGTTTCTAAGATGTGAATAAGCACTAATGGTTTTTGGCCTAATTCACTCTAACGACATTAGTTCAGGATCTGCTGAGGAATGTCTCATCCTGGGAACCTTCTAGCATCTCCCATAGTTGGATTATGGAGTTAGCATGCCAAGTTTATGATTGAGGACAAAAAGTAAAGGAAAATTCCCTTTTGTAACAGAAACCTACTAAAAAATGGCAATGGTAAAAGCCACGTGTGTGTTCAGTCTGTAATAGAAAAATAAATCTTAAAAGCTTAGCTCACGTCCACTTCAACTTTGCTACTCCAGGCCAAAATACCTTACGGAAAGTGTTGGAGAGTAGTGTGACCCTCAGATTTGGAGGGTATTAAGTTTACTAAATGTCTAAGAATCTCTCACATATGTAACACAATATTGTACCAATCTGTTGTTTTAGAATGATTTTGTGGGTAATCAGCTCTGTTTGGAGGCACAAACACAATTTATTTCAATGTAAAGGTATTTAACATATGAAACAATTTATATGCTTTGTACAATATAATGACATAATAAAGACTTACAAAATTAACCTAATTTGCAGTATTGTGAAACATTATTCAATACAAACTTGAAAGCACACCATATTTGACTAGGTCATACAACTCTTGAGTTCAAATAACTGATATGGGAAGTATTTTGGTAAAGTGCCCACAGTGAGAACAGTTTAAAAAGCAGCCCCTGTTTTCTACAGAAAAAGCTGTGATAGTGATCACAACTTTTTGTGATCACAGTCTCTGCAAAACTACACAGCACTCGCCTTCAGGGGAGCAATACCCTGGACACACAGCTTATTTCACATTAGTGAACAAACTCAAGATTTTTATAAAAGTTCTGGCTTTGGGCCAGAAGATAAAATGTCCCATATATACATGTATAAAACCCCCAATTTCTCGCTTCTTAAATTCTCTAGTTCTAAAAATGGCTTTTTGACTTGTCTTTAAGTTTAAAAAGGAAAAAGTGTGCAATGCACTTTGAATTAATAATATATAAATGAGAAAGATGCTTGTGATGGTACTAATCTACTTAGAGTATATACATGATCTTTGGGTATTGTGAGAATCAGTTTAACTGTCCCTCACCTTATGAGCAACTTAATTTTCTAAGTTACCCAGGAAATGTACTTAACCATTTACAAAAACAAAAATCCTAATACACACTTTACAAAATCATGGTCTTATTTACCTGCACATTTTCCCACAAGACAGGTACATATTAAAAAATATTGCTCAAAAACATAAAAATATATATTATTTCTTTCCTTTACCATTTATGCATATAAATATTTTACTGAAGAAAATGCATCATTCAATAAACAAATGCAAAAACTGCTTTATATAAAGTGTGGTTCTCTGCTATGTAGCAATATAACATATAAAACGATTACAATGTAGTTAGCTATTAATGAGCTAAATTCAAGATAACTTGCAAACCAATACAGCAGTGAACAGTCCCTTGAGTCCATTAGGAAAAGTCAAGTCAATTTTCTAACAGATTACATAAAAATATGGGCCAATAAGTGCATTATAAATGCAAAAAAAGCATTGCTTCATCAGCACATTCTTCAGTCTTGTTTGGACTAGATGCCAAACTTACTGTTCACTTTTCGGTTCATCTTGTTTTCCATTAAGCTCTTGATCAACTCTGTTTAAAGAAAAATATACGATAATAAGACACAAGCAACTGAACAATTTTCTTTCTAAAAATAATGACTATGTTTAGCATAGAAAATTATTCTGTTAAAAACAAAGCTTTGCAAAGAAGCAGACATAGTAAAAAAGTTGCCCAACATTATTTCCCCAACCAGAAAAGAGAATTTTAAAAGACAGAGGACACTGGCAAGAAATGTGGCTGTTGTTTCTTTAAAGATTTTAAAATACTTTACATACAAATGCACATAAACTTTCTTAAAAGTTCAAATTACAAAGGCATATTAAAATGGTGACTTGTAGCTTGGCTCCAGCAGGGATCCAAGTGGTAAGACTGGGAGGAAAAACAACTCCCTGAAAAATGATTTTGTTAACTAAAATATGAAAGTGCCACTAATGCCATCAATTGATCAATTAATATTTTTAAAATTCACTGAAAAAAACGCATATGTATAAAAACCACAATTGTTCTCCAAAACCTACCGGTACACTTAGTCTGTGAATGCCTTTTATTTATTTTGATGGTAAGAAGCCATAAGAAATTAACATTCAGAACTACCTAATGTAGATTAAAAATCTCATTCAATTGTGGTGTTGGACAAAGTTCTTATCAAAATTTAGGCATGTGGGGATTAGGATTTCATAATTAGCACACAGTAATTACAGACAACCCTTCAAAGATAATACAAAACAGTCCATTACTATTATCTTTGTAGTAGTTTGAACAACTGATGTGAGATGTTTAAAATAATCTGGTATGATACAGAAAGACACTTTTCACATTTGTTTCTATTACTATGATCACCTGAGCATTAATGAATCAGACCTAAAAGCAAACCTTAGTTTGTGGTAAAGCCAGATAGATGAACATTTTAAAATATTTTTAATATTGGTATCAAAAATTGAAAGGTCTTGATAAGGCAAGCAAAATATATCCAATCTTTTCAACATGTGAAATATCCTTAAGCTCACAGCTTCTATGGCTATTCCAAAAAAGGGGAAAAGAAATAGCCTTAAGAAGTTCATAATTATTTTAAAATACCATTGCAACATTTTAACAATTTGTATCTGCCTAGCCATACTTGCACTGAGTTGTTTGAAAGAAATATCTGAAACATTTAAAACTGCTCTATACTTTTCCCACAACTGTCAGGCTAGGTAGATCCTGGCATGGCCGAGGACACTGGAGCTCACCTTCCCTGGCATTTGTTTGACCCTCTTCTCCATAAGCCCTTCAATAAAATGGTTTGACACACTCTACTCCCCGCAAAACAGCTATATTTCAATATTCATAGTTTCTTACTCTCCTTAGCACCAGTATTTATCATGGAGATGACACCTTAAATAAGTTGCCTTGCACCTATCTTCCTGTAAGGTTTGGTTTTAAAAACATGCCTTTCTATTTAATTCAAAAAATTAAATCTCATCACTTTCATACTGACAAGGATTTAGTATTATTATTATTATTTTGAGACAGTCTCACTCTGTCGCCCGGGCTAGAGTGCTGTGGGATCAGCCTAGCTCACAGCAACCTCAAACTCCTGGGCTCAGGCAATCCTTCTGCCTCAGCCTCCCAAGTAGCTGGGACTACAGGCATGTGCCACCATGCCCGGCTAATTTTTTTTTCTCTCTCTATATATATTTTTAGTTGGCCAATTAATTTCTTTCTATTTTTTTTTTTTTTAGTAGAGATGGATCTCCCTCTTGCTCAGGCTGGTTTTGAACTCCTGACCTTGAGCGATCCACCCACTTTGGCCTCCCAGCGTGCTAGTATTACAGGCATGAGTCACTGAGCCCGGCCGGATTTATTATTTTTTAAGGCCCAAGAAACTCTGTTCAAAAGCTAAGGGCCTGAAAGATATGTGTAATGATCCTATTTAAGGTTAAACACAAAGGAAAAAAACTAAAAATAAATTACAGATTATATTTTGAATTTTAACTACTTGTTTGGCAAATGCACAGCAATGCCTAGAAAGGAATGAGCAATCAGCATGATCTAAAGTCATTGTCTAGGGGGGAGAGGGAGCAAGGGCAATGTATGTAACCTTAACATTTGTACCCCTGTAATATACTGGGGGAAAAAAAGGGAAAAACCCAACCACTAAATAAATAAATAAATACAGTAAGTCACTGTCTACATCTCTATGTTAAAGTTTGGTTAAACTGTAAAGTGTCATACAGAAATGTAAAGAATGATTCTATGACATGGCCTACTGAATTCTCAGTCATCAACAGAACCAAAATATGTTCAAAGTTAAGAATGTTTCAGTACCAGCTAGTTACAGCTGGTTCCTTAGAATGGTTAAATAACAACATATAAATCTCTCACCTTAACTCTTAAGAAAGAAAGATTGTATTTTTTCTTTTTTTTTTCTTTGAGACAGAGTCTCACTCTGTCACCCGGGGCTAGAGTGCTGTGATGTAAGCCTACCTCACAGCAACTTCAAACTCTTGGGCTCAGGCTCAGGGAATCCTCCTTCCTCAGCCTCCCGAATAGCTGGGACTACATGCACGCACCACCAGGCCCAGCTAATTTTTTTTATTTTTAGTTGTTTGGCTAATTTCTTTCTATTTTTTTTAGTAGAGATGGGGTCTCGTTCTTGCTCAGGCTGGTCTCGAGCTCCTGAGCTTGAGCAACCCTCTGCCATGGCCTCCCAGAGTGCTAGGATTATAGACGTAAGCTACCATGCCCAGCAGAAAGATTGTATTAAACTATGCTTTGCTAACTTAACTGTCAGTATTTTAAAAATCTATTAAGAGGGTCGGCACAGTGGCTCAAGCCTGTAATCCTAGCACTCTGGGAGACCAAGGTAGGTGGATCACTCAAGGTCAGGAGTTGGAGACCAGCCTGAGCAAGAGCAAGACCCCATCTCTACTAAAAATAGAAAGAAATTAATTGGCCAACTAAAAATATATATATAGAAAAAATTAGCCGGGCATGGTGGTACATGCCTGTAGTCCCAGCTACTCAGGAGACTGAGACAGAAGGATTGCTTGAGCCCAGGAGTTTGAGGTTGCTGTGAGCTAGGCTGATGCCACAGCACTCTAGCCTGAGCAACACAGTGAGACTCTGTCTCAAAATCAAAAACAAAAAAATCTGCTAACAAATTAGATCCAAATTCTACATTTTTCTAAATTACAATAAAAAATCATAGCTATTTTATATAACCCTTGCCTTTCATCTTTTATGCTAAGATATTAATAGATAATAGTTTGTTATGCTCAAAGCAGAAGTGTTCAAAATTAAATTTAAAATAGTAAGCAGAGTGTTTAACTGTTAAATGGTACATTGAACTTTTAGGTATTTTATCACATGTAGAATTTGACTGGTTAGCAAGCCATTTAATTTAAGCATAAAGGGAAATCAATGTTGGTTAGCCAAAGAATATATGCATTGCAAATATAATCATCAACCCCAGGGAAATAAACTGATTCCTTTAAAAAGTCTGCCTAAGTATTTCAAAAAGACAAGTTGGAGATTTAAAGAGGATGGTGAAACAGATAAAGTCTTAAAAGGATTTAGTGTTCCAAACAGTATTCTTAGTAATTTCTCTGGTTTCACCATTAGCATTTCTTCCTTAGACCAAAAAGGAAGAAGGGGCTATGGTCTTTAATTTCTAATTGGCATTATATTAAAACAAAGTGAATCCAAGTCATATTCAGCATTAGAAATTTTGGATTCGCTCTATATTTGGAAGTTGGGGTATATTTATATTTACAAATGCTATTATCTTTGTTTAGAAGCTAACCAACCAATAAGGAAGAGTTAGTCTGTGCAATGCAAATGGACTAGTCTAGATGCAACCCATTCAAGGTGTGCATATACCTTTTTTGTTTCTTTTTTAACTTTTCTTCTTCATACCTTGGTAGGGAAGAGTTATTTCAGTAAATATACATGTTATGAGGATGAACACAAACTTGAAAAAAGGCACTAAAAATAAACTCATTTAAGTTTGCTGGCAAACCAAAAATATTTAATAGATGGTGTAGAAAGTAAAAACTGACTTAATAAATCTGGCTTTGACACATTAAACAGACTAAAACCATAGGTTAACAGAACAAAGAAACTTTTTAGATGCATTGTGATGCTCAGGTATTTATGTTAACAGCCTTCTACTAAATCCTTTCAGAAGTTAGATGGAAGTATGTGAATTTGATAAATAGAACAAATTCTAGTCACTGGAAAATATTAAGGTTATGCTGATTTAAATATTTATTTCCTTAACAATATGATTATTCAATGCCATGATGAGTTTACTCAAATTTGGAGAGCACCATGTTCAAGTTTGGAGAATGTTCCTTAGTAACCAATCAGAAAATCATCTCTTAGATTGCAGTCTATAAAAATATAAATGAATCACAACCAGAAATCATTTCTCCTAGTTCTTCAACTGATAGCCTGATGAAAATGAGGACTTAAGGGGACAATGAGGGGAAATGGTTTCTTCCTCTTTGTTACCAAAAAAAGAAGAGCAGTTACAAAATATTAATAATATAGAAAGAATGAGTATTCAAAAACATTACCTCTTGCACATCAAAATATAAAGATCCAATACAATTAAAGAAATAAAATAAAACATACTGTTTTATGCATTCTGGTATGCCAACATATTCCATGGGGACAAGTTCCGCTAGTTCTGCCAAATTAAAGACGTATCTAATTTTTTGGCTGAATTTTGAGCTATGGAAGAAAATAAAAATAATTATCTCAATATTTCTCACCAATAGAACTGACAAGAAATTTATACAAGGAATTTTTTTTAACAGTCAGTGGCATTTTGAATGTCTACAACATAAATAAATGATAAAATGATTCAGGTGACAGATATGTTAATTATCCTGATTTCATCATTAAACACTAAATGCTTGTATCAAAATATCACTCTGTATCCCATAAATATATACAATTATTATGTGTCAACTGAAAATAAAAGGGGAGAGAGCAGAATAAAGTAAAAAAGACCATAAACAAAAACACCAAAAGACAAAGTGAATGGCTCTAGAAAATTACCTAATAAATGGTCTTGTAACAGCCAGAAGTGTTCTGATAAACCAAGAGGGATGTACAATGATTAGAGATTTTAGGTTTTTCCGTAACCTGGAGTTTAAAAAAAACAAAAGAAAATTAAAATATCTCTATAAATTCTAAAGCTAGATGTTAAGACATCAGTATGTGTAAATTTATACAAAATAATTGAAATATCTCATGCTAGAGTTCTCATTTAGGTATGATACTCAGGAAAACAAGAAAATTCTCTCTTGAATTCCAATGGTCACTCCTACTGCTATGACATGAACATTACTTCATTTGGCCAAAGCCTGTATTAAATGTCCCCTAGAATTCATTCACTTGTCTTCAGGACTCTGTGAACTAGGGGAAAGAGGCCAATATTGAATACAAACGTAAACTATTTTCATTTTTTAAGACAGGGGAGAGATTGGTACTAATTTCTTCAACATCTTGAAAGGCACTGTGCAGGCAGAGAGGTAGGAGTGGAGATGACACGAATCAGACAAGAACAAACATGAATCAGATCTAACTCCTATTCTTAAGTTGATGAGTTTAAAATTTTGATTAAAAATTAAAGCATTATTCTAGACCTCTTTTTAAATGATCAAATAAAAACTGTTGTTGTATCATTTATATTTCACACACAAAGTGATCATTAAGGAGATATTTATATATATATTTAACCACAAGAACTAAGCAATGTCAAGTTTAGACATGAAGAGAAACCTATTAATGCATCTGGTTTAATTAAACTAGTTTCAATTAGCTATGGCTAAATCAAATCAATTGGAAGATCAAATTCCTTCCATTAAGTATTGATGACTAAATCCCAAGAGAATACACTTCTAGTTCTTGTTCCAAAGAAAAGATTATGGCTAAAGAAGTATCTTTAAGAAACATAAAACATGCTAAACACTATAAATTACGCAAAACTCAGAATGTAATAAAATTATGGCCAAAATTAATTTCCTTCAAAACCTTCTAAAACACTATCTTTATAAATGAACAGAACCTGTTATGAAATTATTACTATGTTATTATTTTTTTTGAGACAGAGTCTTCTGTTGCCCTGGCTAGAGTGCCGTGGCATGAGCCTAGATCACAGCAACCTCAAACTCCTGGTTCAAGCAATCCTCTTGCCTCAGCCTCCTTAACAGCTGGGACTACTGGAGTGTGCCACCATGGCTAGCTAATTTTTTCTATTTTTAGTTGCCTGATTAATTTTTTTTTCTATTTTTACTACACTTGATCTTCGCCAAAAGGCTGAGAAGCGATTAATTATTTTTCTTTCCTATTTTTAGTAGAGAGGGGGTCTCACTATTGCTCAGGCTAGTCTTGAACTCCTGATCTCAAGTGACCCTCCTGCCTTGGCCTCCCAGAGTGCTAGGATTATAGGGTGAGCCACCATGCACAGCCCGTTATGAAATTAACAAATGTAATTTAAGAAGTGATTACATGGCATCTTTAAGTGGCAACAGAAAATAAAATTTAATCTAATAAAGCCATTATAAAAATTATTCAGACTAGCTGTCAACTTGTATTTACATTACCTTCTATCGATTTGCTGATAACATTTCCTGAGCCATCCCAGACTGGGCATTTTTCTTCGAGTTGTTGCACCATTTAAATAAACTATCATGTAGTTTTCTGCTACTAACAGCTCCAAAGTGCCAATAACATATCTGTAAAAACAAATTAAGCTTTAAATATTATTGTGCAGAACTGAACTAGTTTTTCCAAATTATATAATTCCCTTTCCTCCTTGACAATGAAAGCAAATGCAATTAAAATTTTAAAACTGCATTAGTTAGTTGGCATTATGATTATTTTAAAAAGAGCATTATTTTTTAGAGATACATACTGAAATGTTTCTACATGATATGATGTCTGGGATTTGAGGGAGAAGTGGGAATAATGTATAAATTGTTAATTGTTGAAGTGAGTGACCAATACATAAAGATTCAATATATTTCTCTTTACCTTTATGTGTTTAAAACTTTCCATAATAAAGTTTTTAAGAGCTATACTAACCTGAGAAATGGAATGACTATGGAAATAGAACTAGTCAGCTCAGTTACACTGGGCTTCTAGATGTAAATGTAATTTAGTTCTATGATTTTGAGATAAAAGTCACTGAACAATTGATGTGCCCTTAAATGTAAAATAAAAAAGTTGGAACAGATAATCTGAGATATATCTTCCAGTTTTATTTATTTATTTTTAATTTTTTATAGTAGAGATGGGGTCTTGCTCTTGTTCAGGCTGGTTTCGAACTCCTGACCTTGAGCAATCCGCCCGCCTCAGCCTCCCAGAGTGCTAGGATTACAGGTGTGAGCCACTGCACCAAGCCTATCTTCCCATTTTACAATGACAATTTTTTTTTGAGTTGGAAAACTACCTTTTCATAATGCCAAAGAATAAGGACTTAAAAGAATCAGAACTGGGATATTTATAATTTTTACACAGCTTAAGCTCACTTACTTAAGATGGAGATCTAATTAGCTCAGAATTCTGTCCAAACATTTCTGTTAAAATATACTTACTTAAAGAGATTGTCCATCAGGTATCTATAGTTAGGTTGACCACTTTCAGGCATAAAACAGACAGCAAACACAACAATGGCATTTAGTCCATCCCCATAATATCCTGAAAAAGAAATCAAAAATTATTTCACACCAGCATGATTTTACTTGAAGAGTTTTTTAACGGACATTGGTATGACTGATAGATTATAGTAGTTTAACTTTCACAAATTTCTGGATCAAAAAGCATGTTTTTTAAAACCTTATATGGTCTTAAACAGATCTTTGAATCTCCTCTTCCTAAAAAAGAGAATAATAAAATTTGAAGCGGGAAGGGTAGGTATAAAAGCAAGAAAACCACTGAAGCTAGCATAATTATTATTTATTTATTTTTTTTTTGAAGACAGAATCCTACTCTGTTGCCCAGGCTAGAGTGCCATGGCGTCAGTCTAGCTCACAGCAACCTCAAACTCCTGGGCTCAAGTGACCCTCCTGCCTCAGCCTCCCAAGTAGCTGGGACTATAGGCTCATGCCACACCTAGCTAATTTTTCTATTTTTATTAGAGACAGGGTCTTACTCTTGCTCAGGCTGGTCTCAAACTTCTCAGCTCAAGCAATCCTTCTGCCTCGGCCTCCCAAAGTGCTAGGATTATAGACATGAGCCATCTCGCCTGGCCAAAGCTAGCATAATTAAAAAGCCAACCCTATTTTAGTAAGTAGACAAATACAGTGATATAATCCAAGCAGACAAAATATAACATCTGAAATAAAGCATTCTTATGCTTATGGTTAAAGTGAGTGCTTTTTAAAAGACAGTTTTCAGTTCAACAATGCTTAGCATTTTGCAGAATTTAGGACATTAAAAACTAAAAAAAAAAGATTACATCTGACAAAATTTTCAATGAAGAAAAACAATGCTAAAATAGTATGTATGTTTCAATTGCAATCTTTTTGTTTTTTTTTTTTTGAGACAGAGTCTCCCTCTGATGCCCAGGCTAGAGTACTGTGCTGTCATCATAGCTCACAACAACCTCAAACTGCTTGGCTCAAGTGCTCCTCCTGCCTTAGCTGGGACTACAGGTGCATGTCACCACACCCAGCTAATTTTTCTACTTTTCGTAGAAATGGGGTCTCATTCTTGCTCAGGCTGGTCGAACTCCTGGCCTCAAGCAATCCTCCCACCTTGGCCTCCCAGTGCTAGAATTACAGGTGTGAGCTTCAATTGCAATCTTTAGATAATCTTAAGCCTGTATTCAGAAACAAATATTTTTGATTTAACTTTCATTTCTATTTACAAACCTGCACTGAAAAGATCTGAACATTTCAAGAACATTAGACTCTTCACTACCTCTTTCTTAATCCTTTAGTCACAAGATGGCCTTGATTATTTTCCCCTAAGAAAAATAAAGTACTATTTCTGAAAGATATTAGGTTTAAACTAAGGCAGGTCACCCTTTGATTCCTATGAACTAGCTGAATTAATGTTGCCTATGGACTTCCTGATCCAGATTATCCTGTTTTCGTCATCTCAATAAGATTAAATTAAGCAGAAGAATATAACTACAAATATTCAAGTGAATTGCTTTCAGATGAATGAAGACTGTAGAAATAAGCAGGGAAATGCATTTGGCAGAGAGCAAATTAAGTGGAAATGGTTCTCTGAAAAAAATCAATCTGCTTGACCCATGTGCCCCTGTGTCCTGTGTTCAGAGGATTTAAGTTAATATGACATGTTCTACAGAGTGAGTTTTGTTTTGACTCACCAGTAACATTCCAGCACTATTTACACAGTGCCTAGGTAAACTTCTATAAATAGTGTAGTCAGACTGCAAGGAGTTATAAGTTGTATTTTCATAGCTTTTCCTATTTGACTTGTAAATTTTTAAAGGAAAGGGACTAAACCCTGTTTTTTGTATACCTCATAAATATGCAAAGTGGGTACTCCATAAAAATGTTTAATGAACTAGTTTTCTACTAAAGCTAAATGATTTACTCAGAGTTTTAAGGTAAATTAAGAGTTGCAGTTTAAAAAGTCCAAGTTTTGGCTGGGCACAGTGGCTCACTCCTGTAATCCTAGTACTCTGGGAGGCTGAGGTAGGACTGCTTGAGACCAGGAGTTTGAGATCAGCCTGAGCAACATAGTGACACCTAATGTTACAAAAAACTGAAAAATTAGCTGGGTGTGGTGGCACATGCCTATAGTACCAGCTACTTGGGAGGCTGAGGCAGACAGATTGCTTGAGCCTAGGAATTTGAAGTTGCAGTGAGCTATGATAACACCATTACACTCCAACTCAGGTGACACTGTGAGACCCTGTTTAAAAAGAAAGTCTAAGTTTTACTTGTATCCACAAAAAGACTTGTATAAGAATGTTCAAAGCAGTTTCATTCATAATAGCCCTAACTGGAAACAACTCGCTCACCCCTCACAAGGAGAACAGATAAGCAAATTATGATTTATCCATGCAACGGACTACTACTCTGCAATAGGAAACAATGAACTATGGATACATGCAACAGCATGGATAAATCTCAAAAAAACATTATACTGAACACAAGTAGCAGACAAAAGAGTGCATACTACATGACTGCAGTTACTGTACACGAAATTCTATAACAGGCAAAACTATGGAGGGTAGACTTTAGAATAGTGGTTACTGGAGAAGGAGTATTAAAGAATTTTTCTGGGGCACTGAAAATGTTCTATATGTTTAGGGGTGTGGGTTATATATATGGGTACATACGGTTATATGGGCATTTGTCAAAACTCATTCAACTATAAACTTAAGATCAGAGTATTTCACTGTATATAAATTATAAATGAATAAAAGGGGATAAAGTCAAGACCTAGTTTGGGGAGGCCTAATGATAGGGGTGAGAGGGAGAGAGTTTTCACTGCATATTCTTTTGTACTTTTCAAGCTTACTATATAATATAAATAATTTTTATTATTTATTTATTTATTTATTTATTTATTTATTTATTTATTTATTTATTTATTTATTTATTTATTTTTGAGACAGAGTCTTGCTTTGTTGCCCAGGCTAGAGTGAGTGCCATGGCGTCAGCCTAGCTCACAGCAACCTCAAACTCCTGGGCTCAAGCAATCCTCCTGCCTCAGCTTCCCGAGTAGCTGGGAATACAGGCATGTGCCACCATGCCCGGCTAATTTTTTCTAAATATATTAGTTGGCCAATTAATTTCTTTCTATTTATAGTAGAGACGGGGTCTCGCTCTTGCTCAGGCTGGTTTTGAACTCCTGACCTTGAGCAATCCGCCTGCCTTGGCCTCCCAGAGTGAATAATTTTTAAATGTTTGTTTTATTCTTTTACTTCAAACCTGCCATTTTCTAAAACTGTGAGAAATGTTTATCATTCTTTCACAATTATATAATTTTCTAGGGAGATCATTTAAAAGCATTTAGATTTCTGATATTACATTAAAAAATATGAACAATCTTTACTAACTCTTACCTCCATGGCTGATAACTTTTTTATAGGGTTCGATTGCCTTCATATCAACCCTGTGGTCCTGTTCTCCGATCCTGAACATACGCCAGCGTCGTCCATCTTCTTTTTCCTCTGCTGCTGTGTACTCAGTAATTGAGCCTTTCCTAATAACTTCAGTAGTTTTTGGTTTTGGAAGATCATCTGTCAAAATGAAAGGTTTTTGAATCATAAATCTGTATACAATAAAAATCAAATTGTATGTTAACCACTTTACTATCTAGATTGTTCAGAGAATTTTCATTATTATCTGCAGAATTTTCAATCTCTTCCATAATGGAGAAAAGGCTTGTTTTTCATACAAGGCCATTTTATGTCTTTGGAAATCGTAATTCTTTAACTTTTTTTATTGCCCAATTCAGCAAAGTACCTAATCACAGTGCAATGTATATCCACAAGTTCAGAAAAGAAAATTCATACAGCCATCAAAATCTTAGTACATTAGCCCTACAATGCCTTTCCAGATTCAACTTGTGACAACACTGTCCTTGGTAGTTACTACTATAGGTTACTTCAAATAGCTATCTGGAGACAATTTTTTTGTTGTTGTTGAGCACGTAAATTAATTCCCAAACACTATAATACCAGATAGAAAAGTGGTTAACTACTAAATGATCATTCCTCATTTGATCACCTTTATAAAGCAGAAATATATTTATAATATTCTGAAGTGTACATGCAAAACTCGATTTAAATTAACATTAGCCAAAGCATAAGCATCAATGATTAGGTATAATTTATGTTTCAAGATTGCAATTTAGCTGATTTTTAATGAAGTAATGATTTGCAAAATTTTTGTATCATAGTCCTTACCAAAAGATGGGGGAAAGGGGAACCTACTGCATGTTAGTTGTTTGTTTCCAAGACATAGCTGTTAACGGAAAATATCCTTCCAGGAAATGACTACAGCAGCATTAAAGAGAGAAGAGACAAAACACATAGGCAGAAAACTATTTCAGTATCTTTACAAATTATTGTTTATTTCTGGACTGCTTATTGAACCAGCAAAATAGGAAAAAAAAGGAACCAAAGATACAGCCATATCATTCTCTACTGCAGATAAAATACCTAATGCTCTGCTTTGAAGAAAAAATTATTTTAAAGATGGAAAATATATATCTAAAAATTACTAACATCTATACAAAGATACTGCAGGCAGCAATTATCTAATTAAAGAGAGCATGCAAAGTAAAACACATGCCAATTCCTTTGAATTTCAAGTAGTTAATAAGGAAGATAAGTTTGGGGGCTAAGAGTATACATTAATTCCAGTTGGTTGTTTCACACAGTGGAGCACTATTAGGCAAACCTATTTAAAAAAAAATCACCCTCCAAAACTTCCCTTTCCACTAACTGTAAAGTATTTTTAGCACATTTCCTAAATTATGTCTCTTCAAAAGTTTTTTTCTTAGCTGATCAACTGAAAAAGAACATGTCTTAAATGTCAAATAATATTTTTGGAGAAACTATGAAAAAACATAACTTTACAGCATTGGGCAAATAGGGAAAAAAAGGCACTGGTGTAATCTACTATAAGAGCTTTGAAAATTCTGAGAATATTCATGTGTTAGCAGAATTTTATATCACAGAAACAAATATATGCTATATATGAACTTTAGAAAGAAAACTAAATCCCTTTATGTATAGATTTTAGTCAGCTCATGATCAAGTTTTAAGGTCTTCCTATTATCCTAATTTTCTCAATGAGAATGCCATTATAAAAACATGTATGTATATAAAGACAAACATTCATTAATAACAATCAGATAAAAACAGTAAAACATTTACCTTCCCACTCAAACTCATTACTGTTCTCTGATGGGGTGTCTAAGCCGTCTAAGTCAATCTCCCCACTTTCATCCAAATCATCTGACAAAACAGAGCCATCACTAGGATCCAGTGTAAGGCTAATGTCTGGAGCCATTAGTTTCTTTCTTGCTTTATTTCCATTAACTTCTAGTGAGTCTGGAATGGGGAAATAAAGAAAAAGATACTCAAGGAAGAAAAAAATTTTAGCCACTTCATTGTTTTCATTGTTTTTTTTTTTTTTTCCTATTTTTATTTTTTTTTAGTCTAGAGGGGGTCTTCGCTCTTGCTCAGGCTGGTCTCCAACTCCTGGGCTCAAGCAATCCTCCTGTTTCAGTTTCCCAGAGTGCTAAGTTTATGGGTATGAGCCACCGTGCCCAGCCCTAGCCACTTCATTCTTGAGAAAAATAACATTAAACACAATTCCAAAGCACTAATTTACAAAATTTGCATTCTGATCACCATTGCTTTTATGTCACTGGCAAGAGATCAATGAGGTAGCAATGTCTTTTAAATAATATAGAAAGACCTTATAGTCACTTCTTACTACTAAAAAATCATTTCCTCCCACCAAGTCACTGTAAAAATTCTCCAAAACCAAGAATATGTTTTTGGAAAGTTAATTTTCTCGAGCATTCTAAAAATACTTTCCTCAATGTTCAACTTATACTTCAGCTCCCTATGATGGGATAAAAGCTTAGTGTATTATTATTATTATCTTTACAAAGAAATATGTTTAAAAATAACACAAAGTCCATCATTTCGTGAAAAGTGTTAATTTCTTACCAGGCTCGCTCTCTGGTCCAGTTACAGTTAGTATATCTGCTTCAATACTATCATCTTCTGGTAAAGGTCTAGAAGACATAGACATACTTTTTACCCAGAAATTTTAGAAAAAAAATTTTTGAAGTTCAATCTATTAAAAATATAGCTCACAGAAACAATTATGTGGAAAATATAACAAAACAATGTTTCTTAAGCTTAGTAATTTACAAACCACTTTTAAAGAAAAAATTCTCAGACTGTTAGAATTAACTTACATACCTATATAAGTAACACATAAAAGTAGATGTAAATCCCTTATGTAACAGCTCTTATACAACTATAAAACATACTTTAAAACTTTAAGCAAAATACAAAACAAATATAACTGAAATGCATGAATATAATGTGATGTATGATGCAATGTATGACAAAGCTCAATTTTATTCAATGAGAATATGGTGATAATGGCTACAACTCTTTTGAGATCAGCGTTTCTACATTACTATCATCATCATATGTTGCTATGACTCACTTCTCCCACCAGCTGTCCATCTTCCAACTGCTAAAGCACCTCACTGTGCACTGGGATGATTTCTGACCATGAAGCCATGAAGGCTTCATTTAAATATAAGGTCTCCTTTTGCTCTTTTTTCATTAGCCCACTTGGTAACAATACAATTATAAATATAAATGCAAATGTACCAAGGTGGGCAGATTGTTTGAGCTCAGGAATTTGATACCAGCCTGAGCAAGACCGAGACCCTGTCTCTACCAAAAATAGAAAAAATTAGCCGGGCATGGTGGCGCATGCCTGTAGTCCCAGCTACTTGGGAGGCTGAGGCAGAAAGATCACTTGAGCCCAGGAATTTGAGGTTGCTGTGAGCTAGGCTGACACCACTGGCACTCTAGCCCTGGGGCAACAGAGTGAGACTCTTGTCTCAAAAAAAAAAAATCCTTGTTTATTTATTTAATAAGTTTTTTCTTAGAAAAAACCCACAAAATTTAAAAATTCTTGCAGACAACCAAAGATTCTTTTCACCAAGAAACCCTAAGACCTTAGTTTTAAAAATACTGCATTATTGTGTATAAAACAATTTTGAAACTTAAATGATCAAAACAAAAATGAAAGATTATTGAAGATTACATATATATGGGGGTGGAAAGTAAGATGGAATTTTATTCTAATTAATGAAGAGGAACTTTCATTTCCTAGTATCAAATGATCATCTTGTAATACTGGGTTTCTTTAAGAAGCCTAATATTCATTTAACAAGTGACATCTCAATAAGGAAATCCTGAAGCTTTGTTCTGAATTAGTTTTCATTTAAAAGTATTATTCACATTGGAAAGTCTTCATCTTGCCATTCTTCTTTAAGTTCTACACCTTCCATCCTCAGCCTGGATTCAATGTCAACTACAGACTCCTGATAATCCAGAGAGCCAATGTCCTGTGATAAAGAGAGAAAAGTTTAGAACAACTTAATTTCCACTTTACTTTTTAATCTACTGAAAAGGTGCAATAACCTCACACCTTAGTTCATACCTCCACTCTATCATCTATAGGCTTTAGTTCAGTGGTCTAGGCATAAAATCAATTTATTGAGTTGCAACTTTTTTTTAAAGAATTAGAATAGAAAATATTCTAGTATATATATTCTAGCACATATAATACACATATCTAGTAAAGTAAGTATTGTTTGTAGTAAAGATACTGTTCAGTGAAAATATTTGTTTTCAGTTGTATATATAGTATTTCAGGTTGTGATTTAAAATATATTTCATACTATGGACTATATAAAAAAATTTGAGGTGGAAATAAGAAATAAAAGTAAACATATTCTCTACTATAGATTCATGATTAAATTTTCTGTCCTTTGGATAGAGGTTGATTCTAGAAAGTGAACACTAGTAAATAACATTTACCACTCTCATGATTCAGCAGATCCAAGTGGTGTGCTATCATTTATATTTTCCACTCTATAGTTTTGATGCAGTAACTTGTCCAGTAAATGAATTAGGCTACCTTTTTATTTGTTTCATATCTACACCATGCCTTTCTCGTTTGGCTTGGCATAAGTTTTCAGACACTAAACTTGTTGAATGTCTTTGTTTATGCAACTACTTATTTTAACTTATGTCATGAACTTTAGTTTTTCCAAGGAAGGGTATTGAGTGTCAATATCCTCATTTTACAAAGAGAAGAAAAAGGGAAGAGTCTAATCCCTTTGATTGATGGAATAAATAATATCAGTTTAGGTATGGTATTTAAGAAGTCATGAAGATCAACTGGCTAACAGTGCAACAAAATACTGAAAACTATAGAGGGCAAGAGGTATAAATGAGTATTTAGTTTATTTACATTACAGTCAACAGATGTCTGAAGTTATTCAAAAACAACAGTGATACATTTCTTAAGAGATAAAAGTGGTTGGCACCAGTAGATGAGGAAAGAAGGTGAGATAGGGAGAATGACTGATGCTTTCATAGCAAGTCCTTCTACACTATTTTATTTTATTTTTGAGACAGTCTTGCTCTGTTGCCACAGCTGGAGTGCAGTGGCACAATCACAGCTCACTGCAACCTCAAATTCTTGGGCTCAAGTGATCCTCCCACCTAGCCTCTCAAAGTGTTGGGATTACAGGCATGAGGCACTGCAACTAACTGATTTTTAAAACTATGTATAACTTTAAAAAAATACCTATCAAATAAAAAAAATTATGCTAGCCATTCACATTCATATCAACTAGTCTTCTAAAACAAAAACGTCATCATGTTTTATGGTTGCCTTACCTGCTATGTCATTACAATACTCAAAAAAGGTACAATGTTACATAGAAAAAAGCATTATGTTCCAGAACAACAAAAAAATTACAATCAAAATTTCCTAAAGTGCTAGATTTCACATAGTAAACTAAATTTATATATCCACCAAGACTTGAAGGCTCTCCTCTCAGTTTGAATTTTTACTTATACTCAAGAGAAGGTTCCAAACATTCCCAAAAGGTTTATATTTTTTAAGATCCACTTGTTAGCATAGAAAATATGACAGATGCTGGCTTTTCCTAATATATTTGACTAGAAACGTCAGTTTATTTATATATACCAGTAAGGCATTTTTAATTCTCTGGGATTAAAAATGTGGGAGAATTCTCTGGGAAAACTCTGAGCCAGATAATTTTGAGAAAGGAAGAACAGTTAAAATACAATAACTCTTATTTAGTAGTTTCTGATTCTAATAAGTAACCTATACTTTAAAGCAATTAACACACATCTGCAATGATTACTTTATAGATTGCTTTCTGACAACAGCTCTTCCTTTCTATAGAGGGGAAAATAAATGAGGGACACCTACCATACCAAACTATTCCTATTCAGAACATAGAACTAGGAAAAAAGAAAAAATTTTTTTTAAAAAAAGAGCCCAGAATTATAGCCAATACGTATTACTTCAGAATCATGCTCAAGTGAGACCAAAGCATTTTATCAGTAAAGGCTAAAAACCCAGTCTCTTCCAGATTTTTACTTTACTATCCTTCTCAATGTTAAGTTTTCTCAAGACTTTGGCACTCACTTTAAAGTGAACAAATATATTTTCCTAAAATCAATAACCAGAAAAACTGTACACTATCTCATTTCACCTTGTTAAAAAAAATATCAGGATGTTCTCTGGGTATCTTTTTCAGATATCTCAAAGACTTAGAAAAATATTTTAACATTTCAAAAATAAAAGTAGTGACTGAAATTTGCATCCAATATACTCCCAACACTTACTCCAGTGCCTGGCACATAATAGGCTTGTAAAAATCAGTTAAATGAATAAGTATTTAACTGTAAAGTATGACACTGGATAGCAAGCCTTTGCTCAATTTCTTACATTTACTTTGCTTATTAAACTGCTTAAATAGGATTTCTATTATGTTTTACCTCATAAAAATGTAATGAAAATATTCTGTGGGAACCTACATACATGCAATATAAATTTTTGTTGGTAAAGTTATTCCTTATTTGTAAGAGGAAATATCTATCATAGGAAATTCTAGAAGATAACCCATGCATTTTAGCTGCTAAATCACTTGAACAAGTTGTCACTTGAAAATAGCCCCTCTAAACAAGTCTTTCAACTCTTTTAGCCTATTTGTATCATTTTTACTATAATACACCTTAGCATATGGACATGGATATTTAGTTTGGAGATAATCAAGCTGGTTAAACAGAACAGAGGAAAGATAAAGATGGATTCACTTGACTATTTCATTATGAATTTTAGGGGAAAAGTACACTAGGTAGATGCAGACAATTTAAACAATTGAGAGAGTACTGTTCTTGGAAGCACATTATCATCAAGCAGCTGTAAGAACCGGAAACAAACAAGAAAGGAATTAATATAAGCACAACCACTTTGAAGGAAATCAGGATACTGCTGACTCACAAGTTAGCTGTGGTTGCTTCCCATTTTTTGTTCATTGATTTTTTTTTTTTATTACAATGGGGAAACAACACTAAGATGCTATTTGTTAAAATAACCTAATGCAACAGGAATGACCTGATTGCTCAAAAGACTGGCGGTAGTGTTGGCACATCTGCACTAATGCCAGTTATCTGTGGAGGTAATAAAGATGAATTCAAAACAGTCCTTGACCTCAGTAGTTTAAAAATCAAGGTAATAATGGATTTCCTCTTGACACAGATTCAGAGGAGAGGTGTGGTGTAGACCCAACCCAAGATGAAAAAGGGGATTCCCCTTGCAGCTTAGCAACATAAGCAAAAACTAAATGTTAAGATCGTATTTAGAACTGTCTAGACTACAACATAATTTTACATGGCAATTCTACTATAAGGTAGTTTAACACTGCGGCTGGAAGAGGTGCTAGTAACAGCCATTTATGCTGAAATCAATTACGGTTGGCAGAAGGAAGTGCCCAGACAAGCCGTTTACTTCCCCACTTAGGCCAAAAGAATTCAACTGAAATATTTATGCTCACTTTTTAATGAACAGCCTATATGTTTATGAAGATCACCAAAACATCCCTAGAAAAGTCCTATATGCTTGCTTGTCATTCCTCCCTTCAGGGTAGGGTCATGTAGGTTTTTAAGAATGAAATAAGTTGCTCTGTCAGAAATGTTAACACAGAAGTTAGATAAAAACTAGAATGGTGTTGACTTCTCTCAAGATTGTGAATATAAAGCAAAGGATAATTATGTCACCTATAAAAGGTACATTCATGCAGAACATACTGGAGATGCTCTGAGACCTTTAAAAAGACTGAAGTCTAATAACTGATCACTAACACTGTTGTAGAGTTATAAATATTAGTTGTAATATAAAATTATAATTTTGGAATATTATGATCACCACGTTGTACTAGAATTCTGCTTTATGGGATGTAAGCTTAACAAGACATCTTTTGATCTACTGTCAGCCCACGTTAATTTATTGGATTTGGTTATACACGTATTTTCTTTCTCAGAAGTCTTCCTTATCACTCCTTCTACCATAGTTACTCCAGACAGAATGAATAGAACCACTTTCCCAAATGGTAATTTTCATATTTATTAATCACTTTTACATCTATCCTCTCATATGTTCCAACCAACAACTTTGTGAGGTATAAAACACTTGTGTTATTATCCCCATCTTATATCTGAAGCAAGGACACTACATCACTCCACATTCTGAACCTCAGATCTTGTCCATAACTGTTTCTAATATAGCACACTGCCTTCCTTTAACTGGCAACTTTATACACAATAAGCCCGTAATACCAGATTTCGTTACACTTGGCTTCAAAGGTCCTGTAATGCCTAAAATGATCATAATAGCACTGACTTGCAATAATAATCTCGCTTAAGTTGTGTTTGCAGAAGTGGATCTGTCATACTTCCTGTCTAAATCCAACAATATCAGGCTGCACTAGAGATTATGAATAGGAATTCAGTTTACAGAAAATGTAAAAATGACAAGAACTAAGGAGAAAATGTACAAGATGACCAAGAAACTAGCCTGCAGGTTAACTTTAATTGGGTAACTTCAGTTGTAATAATTTTGAAGTAACTTATCCTTTTACAAATTACAGAATTTCTTCTGTGCAATTACAGAGATTCCTATAAAATGTTAGAAAAGGAATACACTAAAAATAAGAAATCAAGCATTAGGAGAAATATGAGATTCTAATTTAAAAAAAAAAGGTGAGAATGAAAAACGCAATACTAAAATGCAATCACATCTACTTCACTCAACTAAATGGGAGCCACTATAGCTACCTTGATGAACGTGGCAAAAGCTGTGTGTTCAAAGCTCCCAGGACAAGGTTAAATTTCAAAGAAACGTAATAAAGGCCTAAATGAATTTCTGATTTAACTTTACTTGATCTAGTAGCTCTCCAGTGGCCTCAGATGCACCCAGAAAATCCAATCCATTTGCCAGGAATTTAAAAGGAAAAGACAAGTTCCTGAATTCACGCAGGGGCAGGGACTCGGCTTTTGAAGTACACACTCTGTATTTGGTTTAGCTTGCTCAGTAAGACCTGTTAAACCTCTGATTATTTATCTTGCTTCCGTGTCTATTCCCCGAGGGTACCAGAGGGACACCAGAAGTTCAAGTTTCTTTGTTCTGCACCGGGACGGACGCCGGTCATAAAAGCGAACCGTCGCGGCCCAGTCACCGCGCCCAGGCCAGGGCAGAGGGGTGGAGCAGGGAAGGGGGCAGCTTCCATCCCAAGTATAAGTACCCCAAACGGAAAAGGGGTGGGGGGGGCAAGGCTGGCAGAGACAAACAGGAGCCAAGCCAAGGGCGGGGACCGAAGCTGGGCGGGGATGCAGGAAGCGCCTCCCGAGCCGAGTCCACGGCGCCCCCGGCAACAGATAACCCCGCGGGCTCCCACCCCCGGTCCGCCGGGGGCCCGCGCCAGTCCGCCGTGCGCCCCCCGGCCGGTCCCCAGCGCGGAGCCGCCGCGCCGAGTGCCCCCCCCCCGGGCCGCACTCACCCCGGAGGAAGCCTTGGCCCCCTCGTCCTCTGCGTCCCTCCAGGCCGGCGACGTCGGGCTGACGGCCAGGTCGCAGAAAGCGGTGCCGAGCGGAGCCCGCTCCCCTCGGCCGGCGGTGGAGACTCACGCCCGGTCCCCCGGCCGCAGCAGCGCCGCTGCGGTAGCAGCAGCTGACCCGGACGCAGTGAGCCGCCCCGCCGGACGTGACAACATGCTCCAGGCGCGGCAGCAGGCGGAGGCGGAGGCCGAGGCGCCTCTCTTGGAACCCACAGCGCCCCCCGCCCCTTCGGCCGTCGCGGGCTGACTCCCGCGCATGCGCGCGCGCGGGGCCGGCCTTTTCCCTCTCTGGGCATGCGGGTTCCGTTGACGCCTCGTTGGCGGGCGTCTCTGAAGCTCCAGAAGCATCTTTCCCCTTTCCTCTCCTCTGGGAGGTGGCCCCGGGGTCTCAAAGAGTTATTTTTATTTTCTGTCTGCTTGTCTTTATGGATCATTACAGATCAATACGTAATGATCAATAATAATGTACGTTATAAACTGGATGAGGCCTGGCGCAGTGGCTCACGCCTGTTATCCTAGCACTCTGGGAGGCCGAGGCAGGCCGATTGCCTTCAAGGTGGGGAGTTGGAAACCAGCCTGAGCAAGAGCCAGACAGTCTCTACTATAAATAGAAAGAAATTAATTGGCCAACTAACATATATAGAAAAAATTAGCAGGGCATGGTGGCGCATGCCTGTAGTCCCAGCTAACTCGGGAGGCTGAGGCAGGAGGATTGCTTGAGCCCAGGAGTTTGAGGTTGCTGTGAGCTAGGCTGACACCCCCTGCTCTCTAGCCTGGGCAACAAAGCAAGCCTTTGTCTCTAAATAAATAAATAAAAATAAACTGGATGAAATGAGGGGAGGAAAAATATCCGAAGCCTCGTTTTGGGGAACTGGACTGCAGAAGAATTCTTGGAGTTTTGGTAAAAATCCTGAAGTGCGAACAGCTTTACTCTGCAGCAGTGCTTCTCAAAATATCTGTGGGGAGTGGTCAGTTTATTATTTTTCAAAAATTTTCAATTAGTTTGTGGGCCATACTTTGATAAAATAAAATAGAAAAATGAAAAAAAGATATTGAAATCCAAGTCAAAACATTTTATCATTAAGAGTCAAAAGCCATAAAATTACCTGTGAAATTGCCATAAAGGTTTCTAAAGGCTGAATCTCCATTTCTGTTCTTGTCTTGCTGGTAGCAAGAGTTCTGTGGAGGGTCCAGGTCTGTGGACCATACTTTTATATATATTTTAATTTTGAAGAGACGGGGTCTTGCTCTCTTGCCCAGGGTGGTCTCAAACTCCTGACCTGAAGTGATCCTCCTGTCACAGGGCCTCCCAAAGCTCTTGTGTTACAGGCCTGAGCCACAGGCTGGCAATTCTGCTCTACAGCTTTAAGGAAGTGAGATTAGTTTGGAGAACATGATAATCCCTCTCAGGAATTTTATCTACTAAATCCATACAAAGGCCTGGCAATCAGTTAGTTGGGTAATTCCATTAGGGAATGATTGGGCCTGAGGGATATGGAAAAGCTCAAAAATTTTAATCATAACCAAAAAAATGCATCATTCTAGAGCAGCTGCCTACATTCACATTACTTTGGCAACATTTACTCACTGTTGCTAGATGATTAAACTCTGTACCTCATCTGTAATATGGAGAAAAAAAATAATACCTGCCTTGTAGGGTTTTGTGAGATAAAGTCATGTATATTACAGTGCTTTTTATATTACAATCACATATAAGTGTTAAATATTATTATTTTTATCATATTCTACCAATCTTACCATAAATAGCTGGCAGAGAAAACAAAACTGATGAACAGTTTTAGCCAAACAACTTCTTGGGCCATGCTCCTGTACAAAATTTCATCTTCAGTTACAGATTTTTCATAGTTCCAAATTTTGCTTATTTCAGTTCTGCAATGTGTAGAATTCCCCACAGGGTGGCAGAAAATCATTGGAAATCATACACAGTTTGTGTCTGTTCTTCATTTTAGCAACTTTATCATTTAATAAGCTTGATCAGTGTTTGCTTTGGTTTTGAGTAAGCCATTCTACTATTTGTCTTTTTATCCCCATCTCATGAATTATTCATATTTATTGTTGAAACATTACAAACTACAGACAAGCTAAAAAAGATAATCACTATTAATATGTTTATATATATCCTTTCAGATTTGTGTGTATGTATATATATATATATACACATATATATATAAAACTGTATAAATTGTACATATATCCCTTATAAAAATGAGATAATGTACTTAATAGTTTACAATTTCCTTTTCCTTTTCATTTAAAATCTATCATGAACTCCTTTTCAGGTCAATGTCATCATTTTTATTATGGATAATTTATTTAGTAGCAATCCTTTATTGAACATTTAGGTTGCTCCATTTTTTTATAGTTAAAAAAACACTTCATGGAGAGTCCAAAGTCAGAAACATAGGACTAACTTATTTCCAAACTGTATATTAGTCACATTTTAAAATAATAGGCTCAACATATTTTCCTTCAACTTCCATGCACCTTCTTCCATGAAGTGTTTCTAAAGCAACAGATCCAACTGTTAATCTAAAAAGTATTAAAAATACACTATTTTCCCTGTGTTTCCAGACTTTTTGGACAACATTTAGTATGTTTTTACAACTTACTGTTTCTATGTGTCCCATTGAGTGGGCAGTTGTTTACACTCTTAAAAATTGGGAAAAAAAATTCAGAGGAAAAGAAAGTATGGCTTCCAGACCATATGTAGAAGGTATCACTTTTCCAAGTAGATCTCTGCACTGTTATCCCAGATCTAGGGTTTAGACACCATAGGGAAAGGGAATACTGCTTAAAAAGGGTGTGTAGGATAGTTGAAGTCGACCTTTCAGGGAAAGGCAAGAAGGCTGTGTACGTCACAGTCTATAATTTACTTAAAGGCAGGATTTATGGTAAGTACATGTTTATGATAACATCAAGGGTGTTTTGACATAAGGGCAGGATTTAAGGTAAATAAGTGCTAACAGTAGATAAAGTTGGAATCGTAGGGTCATTCCCAGAATTGGGGTTAATCAGAAGTCAACTTGGCAGATTAGCATCTAAAATGGAGTTACTTTAGCCTCTACAGGCCCCCTGCCACCTTCTTGAAAGTCAGAATGACAACAGTGTCTCAGGGTAAAGTGGCTTTTCTCTGGGAAGCTCTGTCTGTTATTAGGCACATGGTTTCCACGGGGAAGGACCATTTGTAATCTGGAAATTACTAATTATTCCTCCTACCTGCTCCCCAATTTCCTTATTTTGTTTTTATTTATGTTTTTATTTTTATAGAGCTAACAGTTAGACGTTGTCACGTACATGTTTATTATTATTTTGTATTGGCAGGTTTTTCATATGGAAACTCTGGTCTTGGTACACATTTTATGTCCTATTTCCCTTCTCTACCTGGTCCACTCTGCTACGAAAGCGTGAGAGTCTTAAGCTAACTTCACTTCAGCGCACAGATTCTTGGGTAGCCCTTTTTCTGCTTCTTTGTGCTTTGCTATTCCCATTGCTAGCCCTTGGTCCCCTCTTCAAACCAGTCTCATGGCATCTCCCAACAGATGGAGAATTTTGTGCATGCTATTACTCTACTAACCGGGTATATTGCACTCCTTCGGATTGTTTTTGTAAATAAAAGAGCATCTCCTTACACAGCTTTTGCCTGAATATTTCTCATAATTCCTGACTTACAGATGGCAAAATCAAGGTATCTATTCAAATGAGAAAGTTCCTCACACAGAGATGCTGCTAGTCCATGTGACAGTTTTCTGCAAAGTAGCCAAGGGAATCCCCTTTGGATGGATAAAGCTCCTTGGATCAAGGTTGGTGAGCTGAACACTACCTTTTGTAATTATCATATAGGTGCCTTTGTGCAAAGTTTCAGAAGATACCCTTCCCCTGTGGGCAGGTAGAGCCTTGCTCTTGAGCATGTGTCTTCATTAATGGAGTGCTCCCTCAGCTGAGTGCTGTGTGCAGTACACAGCCTGCTCAACTGTGCGGACCTGCTCTAGTTCCCCACCAAGATCTTGGAATTGAATCTAATTCTTTTATTTAGGATAAGAAGACCCCCTTGTTGTTATTTTAAGAAAGAATTTCTGGAAGACTGGCTCTGAATATGAAAATGCAATTTCTAGTTACATTCACATATGCTACTTAATGATGTTCGATAGGCCTACTCCCCAACTCCCAACCCAACCTGGGACCAGAGGTAAAATGAGAGAGGATGAAGAACAAGACGTTGGAGGCAATGCTAAGAAAATGCTCGTGTAAGTTCAAATTTCAGAAGGCACATAGAACAAAACTCTTGCATGCTGCTTCACTCCCCATTGTATGATTTTATAGACAGCTTGTTATTCTTACAAGCATGTAAATTCAGTGATGTTTGGCAGCTCACACGTAATTTTCGAAAAAAAACCATGAAGTACCCTTTTTACATGGACTGAAGATGTCTTCGCTGGTTAGGCTTGAGGGTAAAAATGGATACAATTATATATTCATTTAATTATTCATAACTTGAGTTGAAATGAATGTGTATATATTTTTCACTTATTCACTTTATAAAATTCAAAACTAAACCCAGCAGCAGTTTTATCTTTGGCATGGTGACAAGTTTCTTTTCTACAGTGAACCAGTCAAAGAAATTATTGTTCCAGAGAGAATTTGTGCTTCCCTATTTCAGAAAATCAAATTGGACTGTACATATATATTACACATCACTCTGTGTGATGCTTCCACATCTCAGAAAGTACTAGAAGGAAATAGCAACATACACTTCTAATAAATACTTCCGCATTCAGAATTAGATTATAGCCATTTTAGGGAAAAGCTAGGCTTATTTGCGAGAGGATTTTAGTGCACAGGACTTTAGGGATTTGACTCGTTCAGGGAGACGGCTGCCTAGGTTATGGTTTGAAGTTAAGCAAGAGTGAGAGTTCAGTTGTGGATGTAGTCATGTCTGTTGAGGTTAACGGGGTGAGCATTTCATCCAACAGAATTTAGGAAAGACTAATACTAGTTTAGGTTATTCATCAAAACCAATAGTGTGAACAAATCTTAGAGTCCATATACAAGTCCTCTGTGAAGATGTTTCTGTGGCATCATAAAAAATGACAAATATGAGTTTAAAACTGTCTGAGGATACACATTTTATAATATAAAATAATAACATTTGGAAAATTTTATTATTATTATTACGGTTGCCACTTGGAAAGATGATGGACAGAGACTGAGTCTTCTACACGAAATAGTGTACAAGACCTTTTATCCTGAATAGAGGTTGTTAAAGAAAGACTCTCTAAAAAAAGAAAGCCAAACCAACAAACAAACAAAAAAGAAGACACTCCGCTTAATAATTAATGCTCTTGCAAAAGTATCAAGACATACTATCACCATGTTTGGTTTATAATTAAAATAAAGATTAATCTTGAAAAGGGAAGATTTCATTCTTCTCTCCTTTAAGATATGAAATGTTAGCAGCACTATGACTATCTATATTTAGGAAAATGTGAATAGTAGCCTCTGACTAGGAAAAAAGCAGAGTTTGATTGATTGATGATGATGATGATTTTACCAGTGATAATGCTTTTTAAATTCTTTCTGGGCTGGGTAAGTACAAATGGGAATTGACCAATGTAAGGGAGCTGTTCTGCAGCCAATTTTAGTCTTCTTATCGAGATATAACACTGTCATTCACCAAAGCATTAACCATTCATTCTGCATCTTTACAGTCAAAGCACAATCTTACTTGTTTTGAGAAAACAAGTGCATTTCAAAATACAAAAGTAATTGTTGGGTCAATTGGAAATCTAATATTGGACAAAACAAAGCACTAATATGGCTCTCTATAAGGCCAATGCATTTTTATTGAATACAAATATAAAAATTAAAAGGTAGTATCATCTAATTCATTGTTGCAATGGATAAATGTCCTACAAATGTATTTCCAAAAATACTTTATATCCTAAAAGTAACTTATTCAGCTGAGAAAATCTAGGTGGTTATTTGTATTTTGAAACATGGGAGTCTGTAAATAGGTAACATGTGTTAATTCTTTTTAATGAATTTCAGTACAATTTAGAAGAAAATATTAAAATTGTAACATTATTTTTCATTTACATGGATTCCTTTATGATAAAGGAGAAATGCTTTCTCCTAATATAATTGCTAAGGCATCAAATTATGCTTACTAGGAAAAAGAAGAAAACTTTCCAATTTCAGGTATATATGTAATAGGGAGAGATGAAATGACAGCAGTTTAGTATGATTTATCATCTTCAAAAGATCTTTAATCTATAAAATTCTAGATTTTTTGGGGTAGTACTAGTTTTTTAGCAGGTCACCCATTAATATGAATGATTTTATATATGAAACATATATGTATATATGAATGAGATATATGAATGAGATGCCATTCTGCCTAACAATGACCTCACCCAGGCATTATTTACAAAAATTGTATCTAATATGCCTTGTGCTTAACGTATGAGGGTGGGGGCTGGGGATTTGAATCAATAAGATGATTAATGCCTGAAATTACATTGTTAGTCTTTCCTTAATTAGCTTATGAGACTGATCCTTGTTAAAATGCAATTATTTTTCATAGAAGGGCTTAATGCATAAACCTTATGCTAAAATGGAAGGCGTCTGACTGGGTTGGGGTTAGGAGAAGCATTCTAGTCTTTATTTTGCCACAATCTCTGTGACCTTGGGCAAGTTACCTAACTTCCCCTAATCATCAATTTCCTGGTCAATTTTTGAGGTACCTAAGATTCGTTTTATCTAATTTAGCATTTTCCTAAAGCTGGGATTATTGTTGTTTTTTTTTAATTTGTAGAAATTCACTAAAATGTTATGTGAATGTTTAAGTACAAACATCTGAAAATTACATCTTATATGTATATAGTCTATCTTTTGAAAAAATGGCATAAAACAAGAAGACAACCAACGTACACACATAGTTCCACAGGAGGTGATAGGAAGGATATTCTATTTATTTAATTTTTTTTTTTTTTGAGACAGAGTCTCACTTTGTTGCCCAGGCTAGAGTGAGTGCCATGTGTCAGTCTAGCTCTCAGCAACCTCAAACTCCTGCTCAAGCGATCCTTTGCCTCAGCCTCCCGAGCAGCTGGGACTACAGGCATGCGCCACCATGCCTGGCTAATTTTTTCTATATATATTAGTTGGCCAATTAATTTCTTTGTATTTATAGTAGAGATGGGGTCTCACTCTTGCTCAGGCTGGTTTCGAACTCCTGACCTTGAGCAATCCACCGGCCTACGCCTCCCAGAGTGCTAGGATTACAGGCATGAGCCACCGCGCCTGGCCTAATTTTTTAAAACTAATTTAATTTTTTAAACTTTTTTTTTTTTAGTAGAGACAGGGTCTCTCTATGTTGCTCAGGCTGGTCTCAAACTCCTGGCCTCAAGCTATCCTCCCTCCTCAGCTTCCCAAACTGTTGGAATTATAGGTGTGAACCACCACACCTGGCTTTTATTCATTTATTTATTCATTAATTTTTAGGAAAGATATTTTAAAAATCTGGATATTTATAAGGGATGTTGGTATTTACAATTTGCAGGTTTTGCACAATGTAGTTGATAGAGCCGTGAATTCAGAATCAGCAAATTTCCTTTAAAATTTCAATCTGACTTTTGTATTTGTGGATTCCTCCGCTTTCCCATAAGCATTCTATAAGACTAGGAAACAGGCAACGTCAAATGAAAAAACCAATGGCAGTCTCAGGGAGTCTCAAGCGTTGCCTTGAATTGATAATTCTTGTTTAGGACCATTCTGAAAATGGGAATTGAAAGTTTTGTTTATAAGACTGCTGCTTCTTAGGGTAGTTTTTGCCTCAGTTTCTTATGCAACCTGGCATATAGGAATATAGGTATGTAGGAAACATGCTAAAATACGATCACTTGAAGCTTGTTCCTTTTTTCATTTTAACAATTCTTTTTGTGTTTTGACTATTAAAAAAAACCCATTCTCTAGCAATGAATTTCTTGACTTAGCCACATATTTTTAAAGTATTAACAAAAATGCATATAAAATTTTTAGGGTCTTTTAGTTAGAGTATATTTCAAAGGTGTCCTAGGAGCCTCCTAAATAAGGGATCTTTCATTAAATTAATAAAGTCTATCCAAAATTAAGCTTCTTATTTCAATTTATTTTAGGAAAAATTTAGTCACAGGTTGTGGTCTTCACTGCCTTTCTTCTCCCACACCATCATAAATTGGTTTTGGTGTTTAATTTTTGATCTAGGAAAGAATAATTCATTTTTATCTTCATTTAATTTTAATAGTCAAGGAGTAGCCTATAAAGATTGAATAAATTTAATCCTCTGCAATTAGTGTCAAATTAATTCATTCTGGATGTGGATAACTGAAGAAATACAGACCCTCCTACATACTGACAGACACCTTTATCAGGTTTAATGTTTTATGTAAATGATTCTACTTGAAAGGAAGTTATCTTGTTTCTCCCTCCTCCCTTTCTGTCCTTGTTAATTGTTTGTTTTTAAACCTAAACTTCCTCTCAGTATTCTGTCAGGACTGTGGTACTATTCTCTGGGTCAACTGTGTGATTTCTACAGAGATACATTCTGCTGCTAATTTGGCTCCTTTGGGCAGAGAAATTCAATTTTCTCCCGCTCATAAAAGTTCACAACCACGTAACTTCTGTGAGTTGCTCCAGAAAGGAAGATATGATCAGACCTCATGAGGATTAAAATGATCTGGATATGTCTTGTGTGCAGCGCGAGCAGACAGGATTATCGTAAGTAGCCATTTGTCTCACGCAACACGATTCATCTGGATCATCCCACATTTGTTACCCAGAGATGATTTTTCAGAGCAGGGATATTTTCCCTCCCACAGAGAAGCCAAGATACAAAAAGCCAGCAAGCAGATCAGCGCTCAAGTCATTCAAAAATACCCTTTCTTCTTTCTGTCCTTTAAAATCAACAGTTGGGGTTATATTGTTGTTATCTATGTAGGTTTTATGATTAACCATTTTAATACAAGCAGACTATAATAATCTAATATATTTCTCTCAATTTCTAGTACAGCTATAAATGCACACTGGCTGTTACTGAACATGACTCATCAAGATTTTTAAAAAAGATAATTTAGTTATCTCTTGTCAAGTCACTATTTAATGTTACTTTCTCTATTTGCTGTGATAAGCATTAAAATCTGTATATTGGTTGATAAATCATTGTTTAGGAGTGTCTAAAGGGTTCAGTAAATGGTATGAAATTGCCATAGTGTAATAAATGGTTATTTGATAATGAATGAAATTGTTTGAAAATACTGTTAAAATGTCAAGTTTAAACATATAGATCATTACTCAAAAGGAAGGCAAACATGGAAACCACAGTGACATCATAAATATACTGCAATAAACACATTTATTTATACCAGGCAAGTTGTAGGTACTTTGTACAAATGTGTACAAATTGATATATGAAGTTAATTTCAATCTGTAAAAGTAATTGCATTGGTTTAACTTATTTAACTCTCCTTACAATAATATTTATTGCAGAAAAAGAAGGTAAAGAAATAAATGATGATAAATAGATAAAATACATAGGAAATGGGAATTGTTTTACAACTTAATTACACTGTCACATAAAATTATCACACAAATACACCAATCCGACAGCAGAGATACATTAAAACTCTATTATCCAATGCAGAGAACAGTTTTTTGTTGGCCTTTATTTCATCTGCACATTTGAAATAATTTTATTTTTTTCGACCAGCATTAAATGTCTAGGCAATGTCAAAAGCAAAAAAAGAGTAAGTTGAGAACAAAAATTGTTTTCTAAAAGAAATGTTCTGCTTTGCTCAATATTGTGAAGACTGACATATAATCTAAGAAAGGGCAACAAACCCCATTCCTCCATGACTAGTATATTGAAGAAATGTAAACTCAGGAACTTGCAATAGAAAATGAAGCTAATTGATTTGTTAGACTGTGCAGAGCTCACCTAAGATGTGCAAATAACTTAGCAGCTGTACATCTTAAGTGACGTAACCTTCCATTTTGGGATAAATAGATTGATACTGCAAAGATTAATTGGTTTTACGAAGTCAAGTAACATTTATTTCCTAATATTTATGAGGCATAGGGAATTTATGTCAAACTTGGCTACTTATTTGCTGATCTATATATTGGATTATTTTGCACTAAGTTTTTAAACAATAAATTGGGACCAGAGTATAGTGTCACAAAACCTTCCAGTAAAATTCTTAAAACTTAGAATCAATTTCTGTCTTTGGTGTCTAAACAGTTTGTAACACATTTACTAATGTCTATACTAGTAACACATTTAGGTTATTAGAGCAAGGATGATTTTATTCATTTGATAATGGAAAATGCAAAATTCAGTTTGGTAAAAGTGAACATGAAAATTAAACTAGTCAAAGGGAAAAACTAATTGGAGGGTTGGGTGAGAATTGAAAATAATTATGGGAGTGAAAGCTCAAAGGTTTAATGCAATGAATAATATCAAGTGATTCAAAAACATATCATATAATTTCTTTATGAGGGTCAAATATTTAACCATAGACAATAAACTAATTTTTTAGATGATATTTAGTCTTTATGAAGTAAAGCCGTATTTCTTTCTCTCTCATTTTTCTCAATATCCATTCAGATTCAAGGCAAACATGTGGATCTTTTACAGTGTGGAGGTTAAAGAAGACATTATAAACACTGGCAATGCTTGGATCGTAACAAATTGGATTTATTCTTCTGACTTGTTATAAAATGCCTGGTGGGGAAACATAAATGATGAATGAAAAACCAGAAGAAAGTTTTCATGGACTTAGTTGACCAGAAATGGGTTCATCTGAAATTAATTAAGCTGTTCTCTAAAGAAATCTTTGATAATTTTCTGATCTCTGGTATTTGAAGAATATTTAATAGTATAGGTTTTACAGAGTCATTGTATAGTATTATCTGCTGATACATATTTATATTTATTTTATATATTTATTTATGTATAGGCTTTGTTACTTGTACATCTTTCTTTCAATGGGTAACTCATTTTTGTTCTTAAGTAAAACAAGCAGTGGGAATGATGGAAATACAACAGTATTCAAATTGTTTAAAAATCTAAAAATAATAAAATAAGAACATGGTCAATGTTTAGTATTTATTTCCATTTTTATTACTGTTAAAAGATAATTTTTAATAAGTCCAATTTAATGATGAGGTAAATGTAAACAATTCTTATCTGAGAGCTATATCTGATTTTTTTAATTGCATGATATATGGTAACTAAAGTGTGTTTTAAATCTTAAGCATTTTTGGCTCATTTTGATTTCAACTGGTTAATTCATTTATAAAAGAAAAGAAGTAGACATTGAAATAGGTAAAATACAATAATAAAGGTAATTCAGACATGACAATGGAAAATGAAGATGCTTAAAAAGAAAATTTAGAGTATCAGATATTGATGAGAGTAGAATCATAAAATGTTATTCCTAGAACGTTTTTCATATTCCTATAAATTAAATAAATTGATTCACTTCTGAATGTTAGGGTCTTCAAAATGATATGTATATACTGAAAATATGATCTTTTTTATTGGCTATTGCTACAGAAAGGGTCGTAAGTAATGCCGGCCATTATTAGAATTTAGAAGACATCATTTATTATGCTTCAGAATGGCCTGTTATATACAATCCCTATTTAAGAAAATATTGAACATGGGATGTAGTTAACTTTTAACATATTGAAAATACTGTTAATTTAAAATGAAAATTCCTCTATTCTCAAAGGGAGCAGCATTTAACCATTTAAAAAAATTTGTACCCCTGCCTTGAATTTAAAAGTAAAGCTGAAGAAAGGCAATGAATATAGTAAAGCAGAAATACCCACATCTTCCTGAACGTACAAAATACCATCATGCTAAAATAGAACTCTTTTGTCTTTAATTTAGTCCTCTCAGTATTAATGCTTTCATTAATACTAGTACTATTGTTACTGTTCCTTCCTATACCGCTGTGACATCACATTTTCATTTGATTTGTTTTCCTAAACTGTGTCATCGGGGTGCATGGGGACGTTTTGTATGCTGTGTATGAAATTGCAAGAAAAAAATAGGATAAAGCCTCCCCCTTTCCCCTAAGCTTAGAGGGGGGTCTTGTAATAGTCTACCCTCTCTGTTTATACAGAAATTACATTCAAGTTAGGTCAAACATAAATCAGATATTACCTATTGTGTCTGCATTTTATATCAGTAGGAAGATGAACATGGGAATACTGCCACAGAGCTTCTTAAGGCTCGACCTGTCATAGCTACCTGTGAATGCCTATAGGCAGAGACCTCTCTAGGATACGGAAAATAGTGATTAAAACTGCCCAGAGTCCTGTGTTTGGAGTGGTTCTAAACTCTCTCACAGGATTTAGCAGCTGTTGGTTGCTACATGTTGCCAAAGAGAGTGAAGGAAGGAAGATTGCTACCAATTGGTGCCCAAAACAAATTGGAAGCACTGATGCATATTTGCATAAACATGTGCTCTGAGCTTGGCAGGCCCTCCTTGCTTTGACCTCTTCATCACCCTGAGCAGGGCCTTTTGAAATATTTTCTCCTTTTTTTCCCCCTGTTTAGCACAGCCATTGTTATTGTTAGGTTTTTCTGTGTAAAAATAAATTATTTTACACATATATATGTATATACACACATTTCTTGCAGAGATTGGGAGGTGGGAGGTGGGAGAAAGGAGGATATTACCTATGATGCTTTGATCCCAGCCTTGAAAAGCCCTAAAGGTCTGGATGGAGGCCTATTTCACTAGACAGATAATAAAACTACTATCGAATCCCTCTTGGCGCATTATAACTTTTGTTTAAGTTTTGTTAAGCTAGGCTTATCAAGGTGTAATTTACATCTATTCAAATTCACCCCATCTAGATGTGCAGTTTCACGAATTTTGACAACTGTATGCAGTCTTGTAAGCACCATGAAAATCAAGATACAGACTATTTCTCTTATCCTAAGAAGTTCCCTTTTACCTGCCACCCACCCTCAGTCCTTGGCAACCATTGATTTATCTTTTGTCCTTACAGTGTTGTTATTTGATAGTATCATATAAATGAAATCATACAGTGTGTAATCTTTTGAGTTTGGCTTTTTTTTTTTACTTAGCATAATGCTTTTTGCTATTATGGTTCTGTTTTATTGCTGAATAGTATTCCATTGTGTGGATGTATCATAATTTATCAGTCACTTGATGAATATTTGGATTGCTTTAAGTTTTTGATGACTGTGAATAGAATTGCTATAAACATTGAAGTACAAGTTTGTATATATATATATATAAAATGCCTGCTTTTCTTGGGTAAATACTTAGGAGTAGAATTTATGGATTGTATGATAAGTGTATGTTTAACTTTATAAGAAACTGCCAAAGTGTGGTTTCCAAAGTGGCTATATGATTTTTAATCCCCCCTAAAAACAGGACATATACAAAGTGATATTGGATCAAGTCCAGGTCAAGAGGCTGTGTCTGTGTCCTTTAATTTCCTTAGACGCTCATTTTCTGGTAAACCATATCCCTGGGCCAAAGCATCCTTGAGCTTAAATAGAGGAGCTCCATTTTCGTCATAGTTTCAAACAGAGGTGCTCTCGTTTTCCACCTCTTCTTGGGCACTTTAGTCTCTGTTATCTCACAGAAACTGAAATCCTCATCTCCTCTATAAGCGTCCAGATCCAAGGTGTATTCCACAGCTTCAGCCTCATCTGTTGCAAGTTTTTGGGCAGATGATTGATGCAATATGGTACACATTTAAAAAGAGTTATTCTGGCTATTGCATTGAGAATAGGGGTTTGGATCAGAGTGGGCTTGGGGGAGAAGGGTAGAGGCAAGGAGACCAGTAAGGGAACTACTGTAATGATCCAAGTCAGAGATGATGGTGGCCCAGACCAACATGAGAGAAAACAGGGAATTAAGGATGAATGCCAGAGTTCTGCTGTGAGCAGCTGTGTGGATGCTGATGCCATTCACTGAAATAGGGAAATGAAGCTGGATCTTTTACCAAATGAGTGAAGTGGTTGCCCAAACCCAGGTGACGATAGGTCCTTGCAGGTTCCCTGACTCTAAGTGTAAAGCAAGCATTTACGGGACATTCAGTCTCCAGCATTAAGGTCAGAGGTCCCTAAAAAGATGGGCTCCTCTAGAATTGGAATGGAGCCGGGGATGGTGGCACATGCCTATGGTCCCAGCTACTCAGGAGGGTGAGGTAAGAGGGCCCTTGAGCCCAGCCTGGGCAACATAGAAAGACCCTATCTCAAAAAACAAAACACACAAACAACTCCCTCCTGCAGCAAAACAAACACACACAAAATAAATAAATAAAATTGGAATGGATCACCCTGGGCTGGAGGTATTAAGAGAGCCGTTTGGTATTGACAGTTGATGACTTACTTCAGACCCAGTTTAAGCCTCTGTTTCTGATATTCATTGCCACCAGCCTGCCAAAAATCAGCCTGTGTCCAGACCTTCTGAGATGGGGCCACAGCCCTCCTGGGTGATACCTCTGTTACCTTGGCAGCTAGCCTTAGCTGTTGGCCTTGGCATTCACACTGTCCATGAGAAACCAAAGGATAATTCAGATTCATAACCACAGAGTCATTTAGGGCATATCTCTTAGTAGAAAGTGAAATCAAATGTTGAGGTAATTATGAAAATTATTCATATTTTTTTTCTCCCTTATAGGGATATCATGAAAAATTTTGGGGCCTGTCATTAACTAACTCATTACTTTAATTAACCACTTCATTATGGAAGTGTAGACACAGCTTTACAATTATTTATACTGTTTCTTCCTGTGTGTAAATAATTGTGAAGTAAAAATATTAATTTGTGAATGTAATTGTATAGGTGATCACTCTGCATTCACTTAGAACTAGCAATTAGTGCATGCAAATCAGCTATGACAAAAGTCTCTCTGATCCTGTTCAGAATACAGGAAGCATTAATTTGCAAGAATGCCTGATCCTGGCCCATCTGATTCTCAAAAGTCACGTTCTTGCCTCTGAAAATCAGAAACTGACCATATTTGTTGTGAGCTTTATGATCACTCTTAATGCCCTGGCAAACACAGGAAATAAAATGCTAACAAATCATCACCCATTACCTAATTATATTTATCCAGACAGATAAAGTTGGGGGGAAAAGAGTGGATCGTGTTTTTTTTAAAGGCGTTTCTCATTTGGCAAACAAAGATGAAATTTATAGCTTAATTATTCCTCGTAGTGCCATACAGAGCCTTTTCTGTTAATCATACCCAGGCCCTGAGATTTTTTTTTTTCCCAAAGAGGTGTAAATGTGTATTGACTCCCAATTAATGGGACCTAAATGTTCATGAGGTTTCACTGGGTCCACCGTAGGAAAAAAATCTCTGACGCAGGTAGATGGAATGTTACTCCTTCAGCAATACAAATATCAAACACAAAAGAGTTCAGCTACCTGGGACATCTTGAATTATGGAATTGACTACAATTATTCATCTTCATTAAAAATCATGCTGTTGAATAACAGCAGTTGAGTTGCTCTGATCGTTGGACAACATTTGGACACTTATTTCTGTTTATTTCAAAGTATAACTGTCCTGAAGTTTTATAAGATGCATCCACAGGTCTCTGTAAATGGAGCTCCATCCCCTGGCCACTGTGATCACACATTTCTTTTCTTTTTTTTTTGAGATAGGGTCTCACTCTTGTCACTCAGGCCACCAGGTTGGAGTGCAGTGGTACAATTATAACTCACTGCAGTCTCGAACTGCCGGGCTCAAGTGATCCTCCTGCCCCAATCTCCCAAGCAGCTAGACCTACTACTAGGTCTAGCATGTGCCACCATACCCAGATAATCTTTAAAATATTTTTGTAGTGATGGGGTTTAGCCATGTTGCCCAGGCTGGTCTCAAACTCCTGGCCTTGAGCAATCCTCCTGTCTGCTGGGATTGCAGGCATGAGCCATCATACCCAGTCTGGTCTGCATATATATTCTTTTTAAAAAAATATGGAATGCTTCACAAATCGATCTGTCACCCTTGCACTGGGGCCATGCTAATTTTCTCTGTATCATTCCA